GAGCTATACATGTTAACAATTACAAAATTCTGGATTGCAGATTTATTGTTTCTTGTTCCCGAATTTCCACATTCTGTGCAAAAGACGATATCTGATCTCTACAATATAAATATCTATATGAATTTATAAAAAAATATAAATATAAATATATATATATTATATATATAGTTGAGAGTAATACAGGATTATATGTTTACAAGCAAGCCTTAATCTGGTAAACTAATCAGTGCTGTAATGTAAAGCTTGCTAATCATTTATATATATATCATTATATATACTAGTTTTACAGGGCGCTGCGGGTCCTACTTCTTCTAGAAATTATCGTTTCGTTGCTGATTCATCTGCAACCCTTGTTTTTTTTTCTAAAAAGAATTCGGAGATTTCTATTTACAATGTTGGATTTCTAAAAATTTATTTCAAATTTTTTAAAAGACTAGATATTTTTAAAGCAACATTTTAAATTTTGATTTGCCGTAACTCATACACATTCCATGTTGTCATGTCAGGTCCAACATAAATTTTGCCAGATCGGTTAGGTCAATGCAGAATAAACCAGGAATATTACAGTTTTTGGTAGGAATAAAAACAAAGCTCAGCCTGAGCAGCACTGTGTTTGTTTACATACCTCCCAGAAACTGCAGTACATTTTTTTGTAAACAAATATTTATCCAGAGGGCTGGGAACTCTTGTATTATGGATATCGAGATCAATGCTTGATCTCAATCGTTGGCAATCTACAGAGCCAATTAGAAGCCAGAGAATTTTGTGTTTTACCAATGAGAGAACAGAGATCCCGCAGATTATCCGTAAAATTTAAAAGTGCGCACTGTGGATATGAAGATCAAGTGAAAGACAAAATTTCCCGGACATTTTGATTTTACAGGAAGAAGATAAATATTAAATAAATGTGTCTTGGCAAACATTGTTTATTGTTAATTGTTTTGTGAAGGAAAAGGAAAGTAAATGATATGGGTAATAATGCTCTAGTTTCTCCTAATATTATAGTGTACACATTACTGTAATACACACCAACCAACGATACAGGGAATATTTCATTGGCCTGTAAGGGACTGTAAGCGTAATTTCAAGTGAACCTGCATAACTCTATAGTTTCAGAAGAAGTAAATATTTCCATTTACTGATAGCGCCGATTGCAGGATTCATAACTCTAATTGGATAATGAGATAGATAGAAAGATAGATGTTACCGCCATACTATTTCTATTGGTTCAGAATAGACAACAAACACATGACTGAACCCTGATTGGATCAGGTGCTAATGGAAACGGCATATGAATGTATGTATGAATGAATGAATGTATAATATTAATATTTCTAATGCAATGGATGTATTTTTTTATATTTCTAATGTAATGAATGTATTTTATTTATATTTCTAATTTAATGAATGCATTTTATTAATATCTTTAATGCAATGTATTTTATTAATATTTCTAATGTAATGAATATATTTTATTAATGTCTAAAATGTAATGAATGTATTTTATTAATATTTATTATGTAATGAACGTGTTTTCTTTCTTTTTCTAATGTTATAAATGTATAATATTTCTAATGTAATGATTGTATTTTATTTATATTTATTATGTAATGAATGTATCTTATTAATATCTCTAATGCAATTTTTGTATTTTATTTATATTTATTATGTAATAAATTTATTTTATTTATATTTCTAATGTAATGAATGTATACTTTTAATATATCTAATATAATGAATGTTCTTTATCAATATCTCTAATGTAATGGGTATATTTTATTTATATTTATAATGTATTGAATGTATTTTATTTATATTTATAATGTAATGAATGCATTTTATTAATATCTTTAATGCAATGTATTTTATTAATATTTCTAATGTAATGAATGTATTTTATTTATATTTCTAATGTAATGAATGTATTTCATTAATGTCTAAAATGTAATGAATGTATTTTATTAATATCTAAAATGTACTGAATGTATTTTATTAATGTCTAAAACATAATGAATGTTCTTTATTAATATCTAAAATGTAATGAATGTATTTTATTAATATCTAGAATGTAATGAATGTATTTTCTTAATGTCTAAAATGTAATGAATGTATCTTATTAATATCTCTAATGCAATTATTGTATTTTATTAATATTTCTAATGTAATGAATGTATAATATAAATATTTCTTATGTAATGAATGTATTTTATTTATATTTATTATGCAATGAATGTAAACTATTAATATATCTAATGTAATGAATGTATCTTATTAATATCTAAAATGAAATAAATGTATTTAATTATATTTATAATATAATGAATGTTCTTTATTAATATCTAAAATGTAATGAATGTATTTTATTAATATCTAAAATGTAATGAATGTTCTTTATTAATATCTAAAATGTAATGAACGTATTTTATTAATATTTCTAATGTAATGAATGTATTTTATTAATGTCTAAAATGTAATGAATGTATCTTATTAATATCTCTAATGCAATGAATGTATTTAATTATATTTATAATGTAATGAATGTTCTTTATTAATATCTAAAATGTAATGAATGTATTTTATTTATTTTTCTAATGTAATGAATGTATTTTATTAATATCTAAAATGAAATGAATGTACTTTATTAATATCTAAAATTTAATGAATGTATTTTATTAATATCTAATATGTAATGAATGTATTTATTAATATCTAAAATGTACTGAATGTATTTTATTAATGTCTAAAATGTAATGAATGTATTTTATTAATATCTAAAATGCAGTGAATGTATTTTATTAATATTAAATGTAATGAATGTATTTTATTAATATCTAAATGTACTGAATGTATTTTATTAATATCTAAAATGTAATGAATGTATTTTACTAATATCTAAAATGCAATGAATGTATTTTATTGATATTAAATGTAATGAATGTTCTTTATTAATATCTAAAATGTAATGAATGTATTTTATTAATATCTAAAATGTACTGAATGTATTTTATTAATATCTAAAATGTAATGAATGTATTTTATTTATATTTCTAATGTAATGAATGCATTTTATTAAAATCTAAAATATACTGAATGTATTTTATTAATATATAAAATGTAATGAATGTATTTTATTGATATCTAAAATGTACTGAATGTATTTTATTAATATCAAAAATGTAATGAATGTATTTTATTTATATTTCTAATGTAATGAATGTATTTTATTAGTATCTAAAATGTACTGGATGTATTTTATTAATATCTAAAATGTAATGAATGTATTTTATTAATATCTAAAATGTTCTGAATGTATTTTATTAATATCTAAAATGTAATGAATGAATTTTATTAATATAAAAAGTGTAATGAATGTATTTTATTAATATTTAAAATGTACTGAATGTATTTTATTAATGTATAAAATGTAATGAATGTATTTTATTAATATCTAAAATGTTCTAAAATGTAATGAATGTATTTTATTAATATCTAAAATGTACTGAATGTATTTTATTAATGTCTAAAATGTAAGGAATGTATTTTATTAATATCAAAAATGTAATGAATGTATTTTATTAATATTTAAAATGTACTGAATGTATTTTATTAATGTATAAAATGCAATGAATGTATTTCATTAATATCTAAAATGTAATGAATGTATTTTATTAATTTCTAAAATGTAATGAATGTATTTTATCAATATCTAAAATGTAATGAATGTATTTTATTAATATTGAATGTAAATGTCAATTTGTCTGTAATTGACTGGATGTCTCTGGTTCTGAATGAAAAAAAGTAACAAGGCCATATATTTCTAAATCATATTACTGATGCAGGACTTTTCTCCATATTTTCAATATTTTATATGATTTTCCAATCCTGTCCTGTGAGGGTAATTTCCAATAAAAATCTTGAATATATTAAGGTTTATCCTGTCATAAAGGACAGATAACTTGGGGGGTTCAACATCTATTTTGGCATGGTGAAATGAGGGGGTGGGGCGGGGCTAATATTACATTAAAACATAAAATTGAAGCCAATTGTTAAACACTCTATTTAGTGGATGGTCCGCAATGCATTTAAGTATTCCATACTATGGACAAAGGAATTGAGTCTTTGCCACAAACTCAAATTTTCGTATCCCTATATTTGTGCAACCTGGAGTCGTAGACCCATAGTTGCCCTCAAGCAGGGATAGGTATAAAACAATGTCAACCTAATCTGTCAATATATTTAATATTGCACAAGGTTAAGGAGTATTTTCCACCAAAAAAAAAATCATATCAAGAGCTTTTTGGAAATTATTTCATTATAACCTGTTTTCTAATTTTGACCTCCGGTCAAAATATAAAATCAATGAAAGTAGGTCATGTGATGTATCAAATCATAGGTTTTTTGGTGTTTTGATTTTATTCCGAGGCCCCTTTTTGTCCAGAGACCAAAAAATCTATGTGCAATATGAAATGTATTGACAGATTAGGTTGACATTTTTTTATACCTATCCTTGCTTGAGGGCAACTGTGGACCTAAGACATTTCAAACTATAAATTCTGTTAGATCATATAATCTAGGTTTGAATTGTGGCAAAGAATCAATGTCATACTTATGTACTACAATGTCGACTTTCAAACAAATCTTAAATTCAGATTGAATTGAATTGATCAATGGATTATAATGATAATATTACTTATACTCTGCATGAAGAAATAAAAAAGAGAGAAAAACTGGATTGCATTGAGGGGAATATAAAAGTTAGGTAACTATATACAAGAAATTATCTCACAATAACCTAATAAAACATCCCTTTGCAACTAAACCAACTGGATAACTTATTTATTCTTACTCTGTTCCTGTTCCAGTTCCAGTTCCTGTTCCAGTTCCTGTTCCAGTTCCTGTTCCAGTTCCTGTTCCAGGTCCTGTTCCATTCCAGTTCCTGTTCTGGGTTATGTATCTTCAAGATAATAATTTTAAACTGTCTTCCCATTAAGAATAAAATATATTTTTGAAATAATATTTATTAAAGGTTTATCCGTATATACATTTTATCAACAAGTTCCTAAATACATTTTGTGCGATATATATCAACAAATTTAGACTATTTTTTTGGTATATAAATGACTATCTTTGGAAAAGTGACTAGAGAGAGAGATAGATAGGTAAGAGATAGAGACGGGGTACGGGGTATTGTGTCTTTATGAACCGGGTTTACGTTACATTATTATTATTATAGCACAGTGTAAAGTTTTCCAAAAGCTTATAACATTTACCAGTAAAATTCATTATTTAATGTTAACAAACATGATTTATATACTTCTCTCTGACTAAAACTAAAAAACATAATTTTTTGGAATTTAAGTAACTTAAGATACTGTATTTAAGTGTTTGCTTAAACTGGAAATGGTATGACGACGATTTTTTTTATAAATTTTAAGTAGAACATCTTTTATCAAATTATAAAGAAGCAATGAAAAGTATTGTCTGTAAAATTTACTTTTCAATAAAGTATTAAAAAATGAAAGATATCTCAGAATGAATGCTAGAAAAATATTTAATAAATGAACAAATTAATGGATTACGAAAAATGAATAAACAATTAATATGCATAGGTTTACAGAAACATTGAAAATAATGAATATATTGGATATGGCAGTATTTTAGAATCAGAACATTGAATTCAAGGGAAGATGGATTCAGTATAAGTGTTGTTAGAAAACTAAATGAATACAAATTATGTCATTTTAAAACTTATATTTTAAGTAGGTTCTATCGGTAGAGTAAAAATAAATTAAATGTATTTTTCAAATTTTGTTGAATCATCGAAAAAATTTTTTTGAGTGAATTGTTGAAGTTAACAGAACAAAAAAATCGGATTTTTCGCGTTTTTTAATAGTTTCATCTGAAGGGTTTAAACTTATCCGAATATTAAACTCGCTACTCACTTTTCATTTTCTTAAAGTGGTGAGTTGAGAATAAAACAAGAAGATTAAATATACAAAAGTAGAATTCACTAAAATAAAATGATTTTAGAACAAATTTGATGTAAGCGCCTTTGAAATCATTTTTTGTAATTAAAAATGCCTTTTCAAAATGTTTTTAATTGTCGTCAAGATACATTTGAATTTCTTAATGTCTTCAGAATGATAAAAAATGGATGATTTTGTTATATTAAATTCCTAGTTTTATTATTCTATAATCTCTAGTTTTATTGTCTACGTTTTTACTAATTTCTCTTCAAGATTCCTGCAACCAACACCTTTAAACAATATATCTGATACAATATATCGATCTATTGATCTATTGATCTTTCGATCTATTGATCTAACGATCTATTGATATATCGATCTACTGATACATAGATCTATTGATCTATCGAATTATCGATCAATTGATCTATCGATCTTTTGATAGATCTATTGATACATCGATTTACTGATACATCGATCTATTGATCTATTGATCTTTCGATCTATTGATCTATAGATCTTTTGATCTATTGATATATCGATCTATTGATCTATTGAACTTTCGATCTGTTGATCTATCTATTATGGATCTATAGATCTATGGATCTAGGATGTATGTATTGTCTGGTATGAAGGAGAACTATGGATCAGCAAGGAACAGTATTGGTATTTCTCTTGTTTATAGTTCTACACTCCACTGAATCCTTGATATCTATCCCAGGGATAAGATCCTCTCCCACCTCACTCTGCTCCAACCTCTCTCCAACCTGTATCAGATACAGATCCAGATACCTGGGGACAATACATGCTCATCAGGTCACACAAGGTGTCCCAAAAGACTTACCATTTCTTGGAGAGACAGGGTGTCCAAGAAAACATCAAATAGTTTAATTTATAAAAGAATTAAAAGTTATTTTTGAGTTTTAAATCTACAAGAAGCCTTCTGGGACACCCTGTACCAGACTAATAAATATATATTCATCCATATACAATATACATACTTTATAATAATTTTTAAAAAAGTTGCCCATCATATGTATGTTACAAGAAAAATATTCTTAAATCTAATTTTAAGATAAAATTCAAAGATATTTAGCTATTTAGGAATAAATTAAAGGAAATCAATGATTTTACAAATCTTATTTTTGTCTAATATGATATTTTTAGTTTGAAATGATTAAAACTTCTAAAATAAAAAGGATCGAAAAGTAAAATAATCACAATAATTTTTCTTATTTCTTTTTTATCTGAAATATTTTCTTACAAATTTTAATCTCACTTCAGCTCCAAAGTTTCCTTTTTTAACAAAAAAATCCAATAGATAAGAGATTTAAGAATATTGCTGAGAAAATGTCTATTGATAAAAAATGTTAAATTCATTACGATCTGAAGATAAAAATAAAGATATTTTCCATTTACTTTTTCTAATCTTGGAAATATGTTTTCGCGATTTAGTTCATTTTCTTCTTTAATCTTTGTTAGATTTACAGGTATTACTATTTGTTTTTATAAATATATGTATCTACTTATTAATTATCTGTAAAACTGTCTGTCTGTCTGTCTGTGTGCAAAAAATGGTAAAACGGCTAAACCGATCGAGACCAAATATTTGTGTCAACTCACAAAAGCTCAGAGAAGGTTTATGAACATTCAAATTTTAACAAAATGTTTAAATTTAAAATTTTTGAAAATGCACAAATTTCAATAGATAATCCGTGAAATTTGTTTTTATTGAAGAATTGTGAAGAAATGCTGACTTGAAGAGCAGCAGCGAAACATTATAATTGTTATTAGAAAAGGGGGTGCGAGACACATAAAAAGGGTAGTATTTTAAATAAACATTCAATAGACAATACTCAAAACTTTGAAATGAAATATTTAAGATTAGTTTGGACATAAATATTATTTTGTAAAAATAATCCCTGTCTATAATAATATTAGTTTTATCAAGAATAAAGGATGATATATGTTTATGGGGAAACTTTTCCTTTCAGAGTTCTAAATCTGTTGTCCCGACCCTGAGTATACCGTTAACCCTTTAGTCCCCACCCTGAATATACCGTTAACCCTTTAGTCCCGACCCTGAATATACCGTTAACCCTTTAGTCCCGACCCTGAATATACCGTTAACCCTTTATTCCCGACCCTGGCTATACCGTTAACCCTTTAGTCCCCACCCTGAATATACCGTTAACCCTTTAGTCCCGACCCTGAATATACCCTTAACCCTTTAGTCCCGACCCTGACTATACCGTTAACCCTTTAGTCCCGACCCTGAATATATCGTTAACCCTTTAGTCCCGCCCATGAATATACCGTTATCCCTTTAGTCCCGCCCCTGATGACCCTGAATATACCGTTAACCCTTTAGTCCCGACCCTGAATATATCGTTAACCCTTTAGTCCCGACCCTGAATATATCGTTAACTCTTTAGTCCCGGCCCTGAATATATCGTTAACCCTTTAGCCCCAAGCCTAAATATGGCGGTAACCTTTTAGTCCCGACCCTGAATATATGGTTAACCCTTTAGTCCCAAGCCTAAATATGCCGGTAACCTTTTAGTTCCAATCCTTAATGTACGGTTAACCCGGCCTTGAGCCTCTTAAATAAACAATGGACCCTACAGTCCCGACCTAAAATTCATTATTTATTAATCCTTTAGACTTGACCTAAAATACATTATTGATCCTTTAGACTTGACCTAAAATACATTATTGATCCGACTTGACCTAAAAGATACCTTTAACCCTTTTTCCGAGCAGAAACTTACCACTAACATGAGACCCGACTCTATATATCTAAAAAACCTGCGGGGGGGGGGGGGGGGTACTTAATGAAGATGTAAATCTAACCCTAAACCAAGATGTAACCTATTTTTACATTATATTCACACAATATACACACACATATAATATATATTTAAAAGTCTGGTAATAGGTTTAATAAACAGAAATTAAGAATTTATGAAATTTATGAAACCAAAATTAATTAAAAAAATGAATATATTGACGTGCAGTTTTTGTCCTGGTATATTCTTTATCTGATTTAAAAATAATAATTTATTTAAAACTTCAGCTGGTAAAAAAGGTGATCAAAAGGCAAAGAGAATAGAATATATATTAGAGCGGAATTTAGCTAATTCCTCGGTTTGAATTTTGTTAGTCCCTTTCAGCCTGAAAGGGAGTTCAAAGTGTACAAATCATGTAAATGTTCACAAATTATATGCAGTAGAGTACATTAATACAGTATGTTCCCTAGACTATCCATTTCAATTTCGAATTTTTTTAAGCTGTTAAATAAACTTTATAAAATGAATTAGGTGAATAAAAACATCATTTGATTTATTGTTATAACGGAAAATCATCGTTTGTAAAGTGAAAGGCTTAGAGTCTAAGTGAAATGATCATTGGTCAATTATGAAACCAGCCTATTTCATAATTTGGTTTTCTTGCAGTATGGAATTGGAAATAGTACAACAAAATGGCCGTTTTACACTTTTTTCTAGTAAATTCCACTCTAACATATATTCTATTCTCTTTGTTAAAAGGGTAAAAAAATATTTACAAGGTTTATGTAGAGTACGCTAAAAATCCTACAATTATAAATTTTAAAATGACGGAATTTTTTAAAACTTCAAAGTAAGTTCAGATTCTGTCTTAATTCCTTTAAAAAAGAAAAAGAAAATTATACTGGAGGTATTTTAGGATAATTGTTTAAAAATATTAAAATTCCTTTAGCATTAAATCGTTAAACTATGTCGGAGAATTTAAGAATTGAATTTAATGAAAAATTAATTTAAAAATCATATATTCAGAACTAAGAGAAAATTTTAAGATTTTCTTACGTTAATCTTTAGGATTCGGAAGGTAAAATTAGGTAAGAATATAAACTGTTTAATTAAAACGCATGATTGATGATTAATACTCTATTTAGGCTTGGGCTTGCCAGTACAAAGCGCACTCTACGAAAACATCTACAGGGTGTTCCAGATTTAGTACTTCTAGTACAGGGTGTTCCAGATTTAGTACTTCTAGTACAGGGTGTTCCAGATTTAGTACTTCTAATTCTTTTAGTAATCTAACTTCAATGAATGCAAAACGTTAGAAATGATACGGTGCTAAGACATTGCAATTTAAAAAATTTGCAGGAATTTTGGGACACCCTGTATAGCACTCTAGACACCTACCTTCTCTACTTCTCTGAAGACCCGGAGAAAATTCAACCCGACAAGTTTCTTCAAGTCTTCTACTGTCCACTGTCCGGTTGAATATAGAGCTGAGATCAGTTCAACATACTTGGAGACATCTTCAAGACCCGTCGGTACACTACAACAATAGATAAACATACAATTTGACTAAACACAAAAGGGCTCTCAGCGTATATCGAAATCAAGCGATTGGGATTATGGGTATCCAGCGTATAGAAGTTCCCAGCTCAGGATAAACTAGGAAACTAAACACTTGCCTTAAACTCTAATTTTCGAGTCATTTTATTTTTAAAATCAAAAGTCTAAAATCTTTTGTATTTAAAACTATGAATTAAGATTTAGTCAAAAATTGAAATAGAAAAGTTTACCCCATTATTTAATACAAATATGAGGATAAGAAATTCAAAGTTTGATGCAAGTTTATTAAATAGGCGGTATGATGTCATGAGGCCTTTGAAAATAAACTTTTGTTACATCATAATTTGATTTTAATTATTAGATTTGAGTAAAGTAAGAAATTCGATAAACCTACTGTGGAAAGGAAAAATGAGGGGAAAGAAAGAAAAGGGAGGAAAAATAAGGGAAACGGAGGGAATGGGAGGTGAAGGATGAAAAAGGGAGGGAAAAGGAGATAAAGGGAAGGGAAAGAAGGAAAAAGGAAGGGAAAGGAGATAAAGGGAAGGAAAAGGAGGAAAAGGGAGGAAGGGAAGGAGGAAAAGGGAGGGGAAAGGAGATAAAGGGAATGGAAAGGAAAGGAGATATAGGGAAAGGAAAGGAGATAACGGGAAGGGAAAAGAGGAAATGGGAAGGTAAAGAAGGAAAAGGGAAGGGAAGGGAGGAAACGGGAGGGGAAAGGAGATAAAGGGAACGGAAATAAGATAATGATATGGGAAAGAAGGAAAAGGGCGGGGAAAGAAGGAATATGGTGGAGAAAGGAGATAAAGGGAAGGGAAAGGAGATAAAGGGAAGGGAACGGAGGAAAAGGCAGGGGAAAGGAGGAAAATAGAGGAAAAAGGAGGAAACTGCAGGAGAAAGGAGGAAAAGGTAGTGAAAAGGAGGGGAAAGAAGTAATTAAAAAAAAAACTAGTGACATTAGTAGTGAACTAAAAAGATTTCAGAGGTAAGAAAAACATCAAAAAAAAAGAAGAAGGAATACGAAAGTAAGAAATGAGATATTGTGATTTGAAATTCGGTGATGGACCAAACCTCTGTAGAGTAAAAAGAGTAGATGTTAGTTCCACATTTATTGAAAATATTTTTCGGTCTGGGATGACCCTCGTCAGTTCTTGAGATTGTTTCTGTCCCAAAGATTAAAAATAAATTATGATATAAGAACGAATGAGAAAAGGACTAATAAAGGATTTTGCAACAGTGTGCATTGTGCAAGCTTATTGCAAGAATTTCAATAGAAAGAGAATAAAAGAAAAAAAGGAATTTTTAATTTTACAAAACAACACAATGCGACTTTTACAGTATAAGCAACTAGAAATTCAAGGCGCTTCGCCTCCATCTTCTATTTAAATTGTGAACATGTTCTTTTTGTTTGCATTTAAAAACAAAGAAGAAAAAAATGCTGCGGATTTTTTAAAAAAAAATTCGCGGATTTTCAAGAATTTAAATTTTTTTTACAAAATCAAAAACCTTCTAAACACATTTTTTTTAAGTTTTATCATTCATAAACCTTCCCTGGGATAACGCGAGGTGCCACAAAAAATTTGGGCCCGATCAGTTCAGCCGTTTTGACGTTTATTGGATACAAACAGACAGACAGACAAACAGACAAGCCAAATTTATATATAGATGTAATGTTATTAAAACAAGAATAAAAATCTCAAGATGACATTTTACTGACGACTGTACGAAATTCATCCATTTTACATTCATAGTCCCACGCATCTTTAAACATGCCTATACAGTATACAAGAAAACTGTATTACATTTACAGGTCTTCATTAAAGGGAGTGACTGGCAATGTATGGTAGTTCAACTGAGAATGTAGTATTGCGGAAATTTTTTTTAGGGATCATTTGAGACCTATGAGACGTTTTTAGGGATCATTTGAGACCTATGAGACGTTTTTAGGGATCATTTGAGACCTATGAGACGTTTTTAGGGATCATTTGAGACCTGTGAGACGTTTTCAGCAAGATCGGATATTCAATCTTTAAAATCCTCACAGATTGTTCATATTTAAGGGATGATTTTGAGAATTGGTTTTAAAAAATTATTCAATAACGACGACAAAAAATGTAGTCAAAATTTTACAGTAAACTAATTAGTTGTTTAGGAAAAGAGAGAAAATAAAAATTAACTCTTATCATCTAAAATAACTAATCTTATATAGTTTTTGGTTTCTGTAATGTCTCACTGTTCGCAAACATTTTCTGTCGATTTCCTGGAATTTGTATTAAAAAGACGACATTTAAAGAATTGAAGAAATCTGCGAACAAATTCCTAAAGAATAAGAAATTCATTAAAATGATGAAAAAGATATTATTGATTCTAGGCTTAGCATTGATTTATTGAGAAAATTTTAATTAAGAAATATGTTCCTAAACATCTAATTAGTTTACTACAGAATGTTTTTACATTTTTCGTCGTTGCTTAAAAGTTTTAAAAACTTGATTGTCAAAACGTAACCACCCAAACGGATGATTTTGAACGTCGACTTGCGCTCAAACTCAGTCACTATACATCATTACAGCGTTCTATATGTCTCAAATGAATTCTAAAAAATTTCTCCACAATACTACATTCTCGGTTTAACAACCATACAACCATACCCCCTGTAATGTTAATTGGATACAAACAAACTGACAATCTACATCCCTTTAGATAAAATATATGTTATATATGGATATTTATATTTTCTGGACTTAGGTGCACAAATATCCCTGTATTTACATTTCACCATAAATCACAAAATATTCTATTTTACTCCGCAGAAAAAGTTGAGTGTTTTATATCATAAAGATTTTTCAAAGGATCCAGTATTATGAAATTCTATAAAATACATTGAAAATATTTCAATACTTGAATTTCAAAACATGATTTTGTGCTCCAATTCTTATGAATTAAAATTATTCAAAAATACCTTAAAAATTTGAAAAGTTTGATGGTATGATATATTTTTATGATATTAACACAATTGTGTACGTACACTAAGTGAATATTTTTTACTTTCTTATTTGCCCTAATTGTTAAATCTAAAAGCGCAAAATTACAATGACGACATTTGAATTCCAAGTTTGACGGATTGACCGAATATAAAAGTTGACGTGGTTTGAACAGGTTTGAGTTAAAATGGAGTTCATCCATCTTGTTTTAGTCTAGTTCAGTCCCTGGAGTCAAATAAACCCGTCAGTTCTTAAACTTATCAACCTCCACCAACCCTCCCCCCTCACACTATTAAAGGGACTGTAAGCGTGATTCCTAGTGACCCTCCGTGCAAAGATGGCAATGTCTGATTCACAACAGTACCTTGAAAACTTTATCTGGTCAATATATTGTAGTTTTCTAGGTTTAAAATTGTTTAATTCCGATAATTCTTGTTTGTTTTCCTGCAGTCGAAATGCACAAATCATTTTAGTCGAGAAACCATCATTGAAAATAATCAGTTTTCAAAATTATAAACATTGATCTGATAAAGCTTTTAAGGGTGCCGTTGTGAATCGGGCATTGCCATGTAATTGCATAATTTGAAATTACAGTCAGAGTCCATTTAATCATAAAAAATTGCAGGGGGGGGGGAGTAATTTAATCGTGTTTTAGCTTTTCGTGCTGGATAATGTTCTTTAAATTTAAAGATTTCCGGAAAGTTAGATTATTATAACTTTTCAAAAAAAATCATTCTGCCAGATTGAGATTTCTTCAATACATATAAAATACAATTTATTTGTTACAGTTATAGACGTTTAAAATTTGCGTCAGATGTAAAGTTCTTAATTCTAATTAACAATATACTTACGCATTTATTCCGTCATAGCTGGCACCTATTCCAACATGGTCGACGCCCCCAACTTTGCGTACGTGGTTGATATGGTCTGAAAATAATAATATTTGTGTATTTTATTGAAACCCAAAAGATCTATGATCTTGACTTACAATCAATTTGTATTAGTATCTTATATTCGGAAAACTTTGTCTTGGTGTCTATAAATCACAAAATAATAAAATATACTTACTTATCACATCTGTAATGGTAGACATATTTGAACACGTGATGAAGTAGGAGAAGAAGTTTATCATGACCAACCCGCCCTTCTCCGACTAAATATAGGTTTATTATGACCAACCCGCCCTTCTCCGACTAAATATAGGTTTATTATGACCAACCCGCCCTTCTCCGACTAAATATAGGTTTATTATGACCAACCCATCTTTCTCCGACTAAATATCAATAAATATCCGTTTTATCATTCTTCTGTCAGACTGTAAGAATAACAAAGATTTATGGTACAATGAAAATTTCCAGAACTTGGGAGAAAATTAAACCTTTTAAAGGGAGGGGTCACAAATTTTAAAAAGGGGTACATGTCTTCTATAACTAAGATTTTCCGAAGACTGTTTGTATTTTTTGGCTGAATTCATGATGGCTGATCAGTTGACTTCAAGATGGCTGATCAGCTGACTTCATTATGTTCAACTTACTTCAAGCTGGCTAATCAACTGAAATCAAGATGGCTGAACAGCTGACTTTAAGATGACTGATCAGCTGACTTTAAGATGATCAGCTGACTCTTAATTGGCTAATCAGCTGACTTTAAAATGACTGATGAGCTGAATTTAAGATGGCTGACCAGCTGACTTTAAGATGATCGGTACACTTTAAGCTGGCTTATCAGCGGACTTTATGATTACTGATCAGCTGACGTCAAGATGGCTGATCAATCAACAGACAAGAAGCTTCATGGATTTCATTATAAAAGATTTAATATCATGTTTAAAAAGTATTCAGACATTTTCCTTTAAATTATTTTAAAAGTTGAATAATTTCCGTTTAAAGAACTGGAGTTAAAATCAGAGCAACAAAAGTAAACATCTAAATTCGTGACCATTCCCTTTACAACTTTTTGCCGAGATGCACATTTCAAATAGAGCAAGGAATTTATTCAACAATAAATAAATAAATAAATGTATAGATAGATAAATGAACAAAATACAGATATATAGTTTAGACGTTCTATTCTGATAATGTATATGTTCTCCCTACACACCGAAAACTAAAGACAGAAGAAGATGGTCATATTTATGCAACAGTGCTGGTGCGACTTTATGACCTTGTGATGATTTTACTCACAAGTAGGAAAAAATTACAAAAATCTAGACTAAAAATGAAAAATGACGTTTAATCTCATAGATGTGTGAAAGCCGTTAGAATGGCAAAAAAAGATATCTTAACTAAATTATTTTTACTAAAAAGACTAGAAAAGTAGGCTTATGAAATCATCTTGTTACATAGTCGGTTTCATCGAAGACATTTGGTTAATTTTTTTTTAAATGCTTACCACTTTTTTTATTAGTTTATCAGGTACATTTCTACTGGAGTTGCAGAGAGATTGAGCAGAAGAATGGGAAAATATCACAGGGGCTAAACTCACAGATATACTGTCCTCAGCAGTCTAATCAATCAATCAATTCGTTAATAATTCAATCAATTTATAAATTGATTAAAACAGATTTATCATCCTCAGCAGTCTAATCAATCAATCAATCGATTGATAATTAATTAATCAATCAAGCTTTACTGTCCTCAGCAGTATAATCAATCAATCAATAAATCCTTTAATTACATGATCAATTAATCAATTATATACTCAACATAGTGATCAATAAACTTCGCAACAAAGTAAAAGATAACCAACTAAAAATTCATTTTTAATAACCAGTCTGATTTGATAAACATTTAAGCAATCTATCGATCAATCACCTACATTTTTATTCGAAGCGTTCTTTTGCTGGCTTAGGACTTTTTTATTTATATTTTATTTATTAAATTTTCAATGATTAATAATGAAGGGTTAATCAGTATAAAGCTTATAAATTAAAGAAATTATTTCTAATGGATTGATGATATAGCAGGATTAATTTCATATTTTCTAATCTATCCTTCGTAATATATACAGGGCTTTTCAACTAGGTTTTCAAGCTCGAGGCTAGCTTATTTTTTAATTTTTCTACAAGCTAGAAAACTAGCTAGCTTTTCAATATCTACAAGATAGAAGCTAGCTTACTTTTCAATATCTACAAGCTACAAGCTAGCTAGCTTTTCGATATTTACAAGCTAGAAGCTAGCTTACTTTTCAATATCTACAAGCTTGATGCTAGCTTGCTTTTCAATATCTACAAGCTAGAAGCTAACTTATTTTTTAATGTCTACAAGCTAGAAGCTAGCTTGCTTTTCAATGTCTACAAGCTAGAAGCTAGCTTACTTTCAATATCTACAAGCTAGAAGCTAGCTTACTTTTAAAATTTACAAGCTTAAAGCTAGATTGCTTTTCAATATATATAAGCTAGAAGCTAGCTTACTTTTTAATATCTACAAACTTAAAGCTAGATTGCTTTTCAATATATATAAGCTAGAAGCTAGCTTACTTTTTAATATCTACAAGCTTAAAGCTAGCCTACTTTTTAATATCAACAAGCTCGAAGCTAGCTTACTTTTCAATATCTACAAGCTAGAAGCTATCTTACTTTTCAATATTTATAATATTTCATTTTTTTGAAAACGTTTTAACGGATTTCGAAAAATGTGAGTGGTGCGCGGCATTCTTAGATAGTTGCGCAAGCGACAAGAGAAATAATCAAGTTCAAAACAAATTAATTAAAAAATATTATAAAATATAAACTATATACAAATGTGGCGAAAGATAATCGATGACTATAGATTGCAATATCTGAATGATTTGTTTGAAATTAAATTGATTTTTTACGGTCTAAGTCGTATGTTGCAATTTTCTGAATTTGTATGGGCGCTAAGTTATTCGGTATGAGACGTCTTTAACAATTTTCTCCTTATAGACGCAACAGATAGAAGTAAGATTAGTAGCGATCAAAGGCGCTTTTTTATCGCATTAAGCCTATACCCCCTTTCATTTTTCGCGAACACCCCCTTTAAAGCTAGATTGCTTTTCAATATATACAAGCTAGAAGCTAGCTCACTTTTAAATATCTACATGCTAGAAGCTAGCTTACTTCTTGATATCTACAAGCTAGAAGCTAGATTGCTTTTTATTGTCTACAAGTTAGAAGCTAGATTGCTTATCAATATCTACAAGCTAGAATCTAGCTTACTTTTAATATCTACAAGCTAGAGGCTAGCTTACTTTTTAATATCTACAAGCTAGAAGCTAGATTGCTTTTTATTGTCTACAAGTTAGAAGCTAGCTTACTTTTTAATATCTACAAGCTTAAAGCTAGATTGCTATTTAATGTCTACAAGTTAGAAGCTAGATTACTTTTTAATATCTACAAGCTAGAAGCTAGATTGCTTATCAATATCTATAAGCTAGAAGCTAGGTTACTTTTTAATATCTATAAGCTAGAAGCTAGCTTACTTTTTAATATCAACAAGCTTGAAGCTAGCTTGTTTTAAAATATCCAAATTTTCTAAATTAGAATCTGACTGTTCAAGGTATATTCCTACCTTTAAAGAACTATGCGACAAATCTACAATCATACCAAGCCTATTCATCTCAGCAATCACAGTCTGAAATTAATAATTAAATCATCATAATAGGGGGAATTTTGGAATGAGGGAGGTTTAGAGGGGGGAGAATTAGCAGGAGTCCCCCTAGGGATTTGTTAGATGGGGGGGAGGGGCTAGCAGGAATCCCCTAGGGATTTGTCCTCTGCTTACAAAAGTTTCTCAGAAATATTAAATTGGAAGTTATCAAAGAATTAAATTGTATTGGGATGTCGTATTGTTTTATCTGAAAAAAATCAACAAAACAAAACTTGGAAACATTTTGAAATGTAAGAATATTTAAGAGAAAAAACTAGATTTTAATTCAAATTGAATCAATCAATTCTATTTATGCTAAGACATTAAAAGGTTTGCCTAAGATTAGTTCAGAAACCAAACCTTTTAAAATCCTATATTTGATAAATATTCATGAATGTCTAAATTTTATTCATTTTTATTCGAATATTTTTCCGTCTTAGCATAATCCTATATTTCAGAAACTCGTCCATTGTTTGAAAACTGTGATAAATTCTTCATTCAGTATTTAAGAGAATCTATTCCCATAAATTTACAGGGTTCTAGATACTAGAAAAAATTAAATGCATTTCCTGAAAAATTAAAACCTTATCAGTGATCAAGCCAGGGCATGGACAGGGATGTGGCTATTTGGTCTGAGCCCCCCCCCCCCATCTTCCCCTGTATAAGAGAAATCTTTGATTTTAAATATCCTAGTAAGTGTAGAATGTCCACGTTAAATGAGGAAAATGGGCTTGATACTGAAGCCTGACTGACTTTTAAACCTGGACATCTGAATCACCGTGAAAGTCAAGGTAAAGATCAATTCAAGATTTCTCAAGGACAACTTAGTAAGTATCAAACAAAGGAATTGAGTTTTTGCCCCATATCTTTGCAACCAAATGTTGTAAACCTTACGACTTCAGGTTGAATAGATATAGGGACAAGAAAATTTGAGTTTGTGACAATAACTCAATTACTATGACTTTAAAAAGGTTTAGATTTTTTTGAAAGGGTTGGGTTGTCTCATAAAACTGGGAAATGTTACCTTGCCGAATTCTGTAAGCCCGTTATGTAGAGGTATTCCTCCAGGCCGGTCAACCAGGCTTGAATCAGCCCTGATATATTAGAGGGACTGTATTTTCAATATTACAGGGACTGTGCACGTAGCTTCAATATTAAAGGGACTGTGCACGTAGCTTCAATATTAAAGGGACTGTGCACGTAGCTTCAATATTAAAGGAACTGTGCATGTAGCTTAAATATTAAAGGGACTGTGCACGTAATTTCAATATTAAAGGGACTGTGCACGTAATTTCAATATTAAAGGGACTGTCAGAATTAAACACTTTTTAAGCTAGAATATTCAATATTTTCCTCATTATTGATCAGATAATGGTTTGAAGGATAGGAGTTTGAATCAGGCAAGAATTTACAATATCAGTCCCTTTATTAATGAATATATAAATGAAATCTAATTTTAAACAAACTGTTCCCATTTATCAGATTTAGTTTTGTAATTAAGATTTTATGTCTTGTTTCTCCTCCACAAACAGAATACCATAGAACTAAAGGGATTCTCCTCCACAAACAGATTATCATAGAATTAAAGGGATTCTCCTCCACAAACAGATTATCATAGAATTAAAGGGATTCTCCTCCACAAACAGAATACCATAGAATTAAAGGGATTCTCCACCACAAACAGAATACCATATAATTAAAAGGATTCTCCTTTACAAACAGAATACAATATAATTAAAGGGATTCTCCTCCACAAACAGAAAACCATAGAATTAAAGGGATTCTCCACCACAAACAGAATACCATATAATTAAAGGGATTCTCCTTTACAAACAGAATACCATATAATTAAAGGGATTCTCCTCCACAAACAGAAAACCATAGAATTAAAGGGATTCTCCTCCACAAACAGAATACTATGTAATTAAAGGGATTCTCCTCTACAAACAGAATACCATATAAATAAAGGGATTCTCCTCCACAAATGGAATACCATATAATTAAAGAGATTCTCTTCCACAAATAGAATACCATAGAATTAAACGGATTCTCCTCCACAAACAGAATACCATAGAATTAGAGGGATCCTTCTCCACAAATATAATATCATAGAATTAGAGGGATTCTCCTCCACAAACAGAATACCATAGAATTAGAGGGATTCTCCACCACAAACAGAATACCATAGAATTAAAGGGATTCTCCACCACAAACAGAATACCATATAATTAAAGGGATTCTCCACCACAAACAGAATAGCATAGAATTAAAGGTATTCTACGCAACTTTTAACAAAATGGTTTTTTACTTTATATTTCTAAGGAAACTGTAAACTTTATTTAATAACGTCATGAACCTCTGATATTTCAAGCCAGTAATAATAATCAAAGCTTGAAATACAGATTTACACCATATATAGGAATTAGAAATTAGAGTTTGAGGCAAGTAGTTTTTTTCTTAGAATTTGTTGCCAGATGTTTCCGTAAAATTAATAGTGTATATTTTTGTACACAATGATTCGAGATGAGTTTGGACTTATTCAAAGCTTTTGACTTATTGTGGAATTTTTAAAAATAATACTTTTTATATTAATGGAAAAAATTCTAGACAAAAAAACTTTTTTGTTAAAAAACAATTTTAATCAATTAATTGACACCCTTAAATGTCTTTTTAATCTTTTCTTTCCAACAGAGTGATCAGTAAACAGAAAAATTATAAATAAAAAAAAACTTTAATTGGTTCATATCCGTTTTATAATTGCGCATTGGCATTAAAAGCCCGCTGAATTTTACAAAAATTATAATACATCAAATGTTATCGCCGTAAGTATTTATAGAACCTAAATTCAAATGTAAGGACGTAAAATCATGCTAAAAACTCTCAGTTTTTAACCAACGCTTGATTCTAGACAACTTCTAAAACCCGATTACTAATTACTAACCATGGATTATTGCAGTTATGAGTTAGAGCTAGAGATCTGACCCCCAGCCTCTGATACATCCTGAGGACCCCGAGGCTGGTCCCTATAGAGTGTCCGGACTCTACGGAGATTAGGCTGGATATTTTACCCCTCTGATGAACAGCAACTAGTTCTTGAATAAAATCACAAAATTATGACAATATTAAGAAATTTATACTTAAAAGCAACGATTTTAGTAAAATGATAGAATTGAATGCCATAAATCAGTTATTATTAATTTTTCTCACAGAATAATGCGTGTTTTTTTTTGATAATTAACTAAACCAAAATAATAGAAAAAGCTGTTTATCGAGAGGTATACCTTTTGAAGAAAAAATAGCTGACTTGTATTTTCGCCATCTCTCATCGGCGGAGAGAAAATTTTTTTGTGGATTTTGATTTGTTAGATCAAGTGAAAATGTATATTTGAATAAATATATTTACCTTCAGATGTTGTAACAAACTCTAGGTGTGTTCCATACTGCTCCACAAACCGTTTAATGAGATCTATCTGCTCCAGGGTGATCTGAACTGCGTCCTTGTGTTGGGATCCACATGGAGCATATGCAACCCACAACTAAATTGTAAACAATTTAATTAATATATTTAAAGAATTTGTCATTGTAATTTCAAGTTATCCTAAAGAGTGGCACACCCGGTTCACAACGGTACTCTTGAAACCTTTCTCTCTAAACGAAAATATCAAAGATATTGTCATTTTTCTTTTTAAAAATTGTTTACTTACTGACAATTTCCGACATTTTTTCTATACCACAAATATGCGGGTTGATTAAAAAAACCACAAACGAAAGTCGTAAATTTTCAAAGAGAAAGTTATTGATATCTCATAAATTCTTGATCAGATAAAGCTTTTTTTAAGGGTACTATTGTGAATGAGATATTTCACTCTATAAATGGAGAGTGCATGAATATACGTCTACAGTTTATATAGTTTATATAGCTAATTTTAAACCACAATTCTATAATCTAGAGTCAAGAGCAGAACAACTCAAAATTAACTATTTGAACTTTTAAACTTTAAACTTGAGTGGAGGTTCATTTCTTTTTCTTGTTTCTTTTGGAAGTATTGTAAATGATACAGCGATAACCGAAAAACTCTGTAATAGGAAGACGACTTCATAGCAGTACTTCAGTTTATTTGATGTTGTTAAAAAAGCAATTAGACACTACAGACACTTATTAAATCACTTATCAAGTAAAATAGGTCTGTTTACACTGCAAAATTGCTGTGTCCCATGCTCATTGGAATATTTTAATTAAAAGTCGTCTTCCTATTCCAGAGTTTTTGGATATCACTGTAGATAAATAGAAATGTTCGTATTCACTATGTTAGTGGACACAAAGTATAGATTTCATCAGTTTAATTTCCCGTCCAGTGCTGACGAATAAACTTTTAGAGTTTACAGGGACATTTTTATCTTTTTACAGCCTCGGGCTTAGCCTTAATTGAAATACACTTTTCCCCTCAATATCCCTTCAATATTCACTTTCTCCTCTTCTTATCTCTTCCTCTCTCCTCTCTTCATACTCTCCCCCCCCCCTTTTTCTCCCTCTCTTCTCTCCCTACCTTCTCTCCTCTCTTCATACTCTCCCTTTCACCCTCCCTTCTTCCCTAGTCGATTCTTGTTATATTCTATATCCATCTAAACTGAGTACAATGGCCATAAATATTCTCCGTTTATTTATTATTAATAGTTCCAATCAATCAATATTAACATATTAACATCAAAACCTTATATTTAGATTCAATAAGATATAACAGAGATTTAGGGGAGTAAAGCATTAGTGTTAAGCTCAGGGAAGAAGTGAAAGATTTGGGATCAGCTCAGGGGAGAAGTGAAGGATCTGGGTTCAGCTCAGGGGAGAAGGGAAGGATCACGGTTCAGCTCAGGGGAGAAGGGAAGGATCACGGTTCAGCTCAGGGGAGAAGGGAAGGATCACGGTTCAGCTCAGAGGAGAAGGGAAGGATCACGGTTCAGCTCAGGGGAGAAGTAAAGGATCACAGCTCAGCTTAGAAGAAAAGTAAAGGATCCCGGTTCAGCTCAGGGGAGTAGGGGAGTAGTGAAGGATCAATGGTGCTGCATGGGGAGAAATGAAGGATAAAGGGGTGTTGGGGGTGTAGTGATTGGTCAAAGGTTAGAAAAGTTTTGAAAGAATCACAGGTTGAAAGGGTCCAAAGGATTACTGAAGGATTTAACGTTAGAAGAACAGTGAAGAATCAAGGGTTAGAAAATCATTTATCAGGGGTCAAAAAGAGTACTGAAGGGTTTAGGTGAGTAATAGTAAATGATCGGGTTAAAAGAGGAGTGAAGGATGAGTAGGATTAGTAGGATAAATAAAATTAGTAGATGGAGCAGAATAAGAAAAATGAATATAATAAGAAAGTGAGTATGATGTGTATGGTAAGTAGGATAAGTAAGAAGAGTTAGATAGGATGAGTAGGATGAATAGGATGAGTAGGATGAGGAGGATAAGTAGGATGAATAGGATGAGTAGGATGAGATGGATGAGTAGGATGTAAAGGATGAGTAGGATGGATAGGATGAGTAGGATGTAAAGGATGAGTAGGATGGATAGGATGAGTAGGATGAGAAGTATGAGTACGGATGAAAGTACTCCAGCTGTGTTAAGCAGGTGTTTAGTATCAGGACTAGGAAAGATCTATGTTTGACCGGATCTTTTCACAACATATTTTGTTAATATTTGTGTGTTTGTGTGTTTTCCCAAGAGGGTGTAGCGTGTGTGATGTGTGAAACGAGTGTGTGGAATTCGAGTGTGTAAGAGTTTGTGCAGGTTTTTATGTGGTTTTGATGATTTACTGCATTTGTGTACATCGTAAAACAAAACAAAAATAATTCGCGGATTTTCACAAAAAAATTCGTGGATTTTCAAAATATTCAAAAATTTAATGAAGATCGACTTTTGATGGAGACAAATATTTGAAATTTTGATCATTCATAAACCTTCCCTGGGCTCCCTAGATATCCCACAAAAAAATTGTGCCCGATCGGTTCAGCCGTTTTGACGTTTATTGAATACAGACAGACAAACAAACAGACAGAAAAGCCAAATTTATATAAAGATGGCTCACACAATTTTCTGATTAGTCCCGAAAATCTAAATTTAGAGCCATAAACGATCAAATATGATGTGGGACACCCGTGGTATTAAATAAATACCCGCAATAAGTAATATGTAAAGTTAATTTGAGGACTGAAAAAACTGATGTTGGCCCAGTGTGGAGCTGACAGCCTGATATTAACCCACTGTGCAAACAATGATGACCACACACATGTTTTAGTTTCAACCTTTATATTTAAACAGGTAGATTGGGTAGACGCATCTTTAATATTTAAAGGGACTGTTTAGTTATTTAAGCAAAAATATTTATGAACTAATTATGATATTAACTATTTATGGTTATATTACTGAGCCCAGAAATGATAAGTATTGTAAACCAAACTAAAAATAAATATTTTCGTCCGGGAACCATTGTAAACCTTTGCTCTGGTATCCGGAACCCAATGTTAACCTATGTTCAGGTATCCGGTAACCAATGTAAACCTTTGCCTTTGTATCCGGGAACCAATGTAAACCTATGTTCCGGTATCTAGAAAGAAATATATCCTTTATTCTGGTATCCAGAAAACAAAGGTTGTTGTATTCTGGTATCCATAAACAAAGATGTTATTGTTTTCTGGTAGACAGAAACCAACCTATCCATAAAATCTGGCGTCCATAAACCAAAATTTCATTAATCCTTGTTGTTTGTTTATCCAGAAGCAAAGATAAAGGATAGAATAGTTCGGAAACCGAAGTATCTTGGTATCATGTCTGAAGACTTATTCTGTTAACCAGAGATCGGAACTATATAAACGTCTCAGCTCAGTTATCACAATAGAAACCTTTTATTTTGAAGTGATTAAGTCTTAAATCCATTAAAATGAGCTAACCCATATTTTTACTTTATCTGATTTGTCAAACCATCTGAAATAGTTTTATTTGATTAATTTAACTTAATCCATCGCTAGACGCAAAAGATACGGATCTACTCTGTCAAGGGATTACCAATATAAAAGTTTCAATCTCTTTTAAAATGGTGATCATAGCACGCACCCCTGACCCGTTAGTAAAAGTAAAGGAACTGAGTTTTTGTCACAAACTCAAATTGTCTAATCCCTATATCTTTACAATCTGATGATGATAACGTTTGATATTTCAAACTTAGATTATTTGGTCTAACAGAATTCATAGTTTGAAATATCAAAGGTCTGCGACATTGGGTTGCAAAGATATAGAGATTAGAAAAGTAGAGTTTGTGACAAAACTCAATTCCTTTAACCTAAAGTCTGACCGCGTCAACCTTGCTACACCGGCTAGTCCTTATTGAGTGTCTGCTTTATTTACCCAATGTCCGGGCGATACAGTACAAACTGGGACCGGAAAGGTTGACCCAGCTCCGAAATTCAAATGTACTACAGCTGCCCGTGATAGTTAGCTAGTTTATTTAAAGAATTTATCCTGCTTTTCATGTTTGATCTATAACGTTCTTTTGCCCAACTTAAAACAAATTCATGTTTTTCGAAATATTGTGGTCACATTTAATGACTACGAAGGTAGGGGGGCTGTTGAATCAGGAGGGACGTCAGAGGGGGTGGGAGGTGATTAGGAAGGAAGAAGTGGAAACGGGGGTCCTGAGGGAATTACTGAAGAAAATTTACTAAAAGAAGTCGGAGACACTTCTGATATTAATATATATATCTATAGAGCAGATGGGGCCTAGAACATCACATAGTAGTTGGGAACATTATAAATATAATTATGCATATAATATTTATATATATATAAATATAATTATATCATATACATGTACACACATAGTATAGTCATGTATACACAATGAGAAGGGATTAGAAAGAGATATTGTATAATTGGTGGGATCAGAGTATTTAAGAAGGAGTTACTCAGATACTTGTGGATTAGTAGTAAAACTAAACAAATAGCTAATGAGGATGAGAACTATTCAGGTTTAAAAAAATGACACAGGTCTGTTTCGCGTAAAACTAATCACCTAATCACAAAAAAATACATGCTGTCCGGAATATTTTCAGTTTTATTTTGAAATCTCGTTCAAAAACGAAAGTTAATGTTTTTATTGGCGATTTAATTTGGTTCAAACAGAGAGGTGTTTAAACCCCGTCTACGTGGTTCTATCATATCTCACTATATATTAAATCTGGTTTCTTTACTTTAACATATCTGAGCCTCTAGTCCCCCCTGGACGATATATACCTGAACTCCTAGTCCCCCCTGGACGAGTATATACCTGTGCTCCAATAGTCCCTCCTGGACGAGTTTATACCTGAGCTTCTAGTCCCCCCTGGACGAGTATATACCTGTGCTCCAATAGTCCCTCCTGGACGAGTTTATACCTGAGTTTCTAGGCCCCCTGGACGAGTATATACCTGTGCTCCAATAGTCCCTCCTGGACGCCCCCTGGACGAGTATATACCTGTGCTCCAATAGTCCCTCCAGGACGAGTTTATACCTGAGCTCCTGGTCTCCCCTGGACGAGAATATACCTGAGTTTCTAGTTCACCCTGGACGAGTATACGCCTGAGCTCCTAGTCCCCCTGGACGAGAATATACCTAAGCTCCTTCTCCCCCCTGGACGAGTTTATACCTGAGCTCCTAGTCCCCCCTAAACGAGTTTATACCTGAGCTCATAGTCCCCCCGGACGAGTTTATACCTGAGCTCCTAGTCCCCCCTAGACGAGTTTATAACTGAGCTCATATTCCCCCTTGGACGAGTTTATACCTGAGCTCCTAGTCCCTCCAGGACGAGTTTATACCTGAGGCTCAGCTACATTTTGCCTAGTCACAATTTGCCTAGTCACATTTTGCCTAGTCACATTTTGCCTAGTTACAACTTGCCTACTCACATTTTGCCTAGGTAACAGTTTGCCTAGGTAACATTTTGCCTAATAACATTTTGGCTAGGGTAACATTTTGCCTAGAGTAACAAAAGAGCGAATTTTTCGCCTAGTCTATAATTTTTCACAAAGAAATTTTCAACAATCCGATAATTTTTTTTAAAAATCCGCAAATTTTTTTTTGCAAAAATTGCGCAATTTGTTTTTAATAATTCAATTTTCTATAAACCAATCAGATCGAGAGACACATTGAAATTGGCTCCCATGATAACTGCAGGGCTTACCATGCGGGGTAAGCCCAACTACAGGGATAAGAATAACCATGGCCTTACCAACAAGCTGCTGAAAATTAAAGCCACAGAAAAGATTGAGAAATAAGATAAATAATGATAAATACATATATAACCTTTACAAGATACAATTCAATTGTCCTATAACATTTAATTCATTAAAATTGAACTGGTTAAGCTAAATGTTTAATTTTTGACAAAATTTGTTATAAAAAAGCAATAGGCAAAAATTATGCTATTGCGTTACCTAGGCAAAATGTTACCCTAGGCAAAATGTTACTAGGCAAACTTGAACTAGGCAAAAAGTTACCTAGGCAAAAGTGAACTAGGCAAGTTGTGACTAGGCAAAATGTGACTAGGCAAATTGTGACTAGGCAAAATGTAGCTGAGCCATACCTGAGCTCATAGTCCCCCTTGGACGAGTTTATACCTGAGCTCCTAGTCCCTCCTGGACGAGTTTATACCTGAGCTCCTAGTCCCCCCTGGACGAGTCTTGGAATATCCGTATGCGACCATTTACTAATAGACCAGGGTTCTACGTCTGCCAGGTTCTGAGAGAAGTTTACATTTCCGAGTTTATTGTGAACAAACTTCCGGATATTCCAGGCCAGATCATTGTGCCTAAATACAGGGCAATTATAGTGGGACCCATAAAACTCTGGAATACGGAGACGATATAAAAGCATACTTTTGTATATAATAGTTTTATAAAGAGAGTAGTTTGAAAATGAACTTGTTAAGTGAAATTTTGCTGTGTGTCATGTTCATTGGGCTCTTTAAAGTTATAAATTAAGTCATTAAAAGAAGATTAAAAAATGTCCCCTAACTTTTACTAGGACCACCCACCATCATTATCACAGTTATTACTCTCCGTGAATAAATGAATAATGAAATGATATTTTCTGAATAATATATTCATTATTAATTCTATTATCACGCAACAATATTGCTATACTTGTATACATATACATTACATATACCTTTCTTATACATTATACAATATACATATAGAATAGATTAACACTAAAAATGGCCATTCTTTCCATCCTCTTCAATTCCATTAACACTCTATTCCTTAGTTTTTCTTTTAATCTCCTTTTCTCCCTTCAATCCCTTTTACACCTACTTCCCCTGTCAATCCCTTTCAAACACGCCTTCCCCCTTTAATTGCGTTCAAACCCCCTTCCTATGCAATTCCTTTTAAAACCGCTTCCTCCCTTCACTACCTTCCACTTCAGAAATGTTCAGATACAGGGTTACCCACAAAGGATGAGACTTCAGAGACGACTGTACTTAATTTATAAAGCCATGTTTCCTTATATTCATGATCTAATGGATTTAAATAATTTAGACTTAATTTAGACTTAATTTAGACTTAATTCATGATTTAATTAATCTAATTAATTTAGACTTAATTTAGACTTAATTTAGACTTGGGAGTATCATATTTGAAGATTATTAAGTTGTCTTCACAGTCTCTCCTTTGTGGGTAACCCTGTAGGCATCTTTTTAAATATTTCTTCTTCTACCGTTCTTGTAATTTTTGTTTGCGCAATATAAATATGTAATGATCAATCTGTCTGCTGAATCTGTAGGGAATAGTATCTTATACAAAATATATTAAAATTCAGTATGCTGCATATGCTGCATATAGTGCATAATCCTGGAATAATTTTTTCTTCTCAGATTATTCGTTGTCTTCCTATCTACTGTGGAACCCAAAATAAGACGAAATTTAAACAATCATGGGTATTTTATGTAGTTATATCTATATATATATCTATATCTATATCTATATCTAGTCTATATTTATTATCTTTATCTATATATCTATTTATATCTATCTATCTACGTTAACTCACCCGTCTATTAAAGGAACCTCCTTGAGTAGTTGTTTCACAACCCGCATTCTGAATTCTGCATTCTAAACACAAGGTTTATATTTATATTTTATATATTATATTATATATTTTATTTTTTTAGCCTATGTTACCCCTGTGTTACCTAAAAAAATTTAAGCCCATTTTGTCCAGCCGTTTGGCCGGCTATAGGGAACATATAGACTAATATCTTGCTTTATTATATAGATTATATATATATATATATATTTGCAAGAAATTTGAGAGAGGTTGTTACCATCGATTCAAATCCTGAATCCCTGATTCAAAGTTAAAGACTCTTGAGGATTTGAATCGGTGATCTGTTTTTGAAATGGTTTGATCCCTGCTTTTTAACATCTAAAGTATTTTGAGTCTTAAAGAAATACTAGCGTTACCTGTGAAATTTAAGAAACACTTGAAAAAAAATTTAGAATTTTGAAGAAAAAAAATTTAATTCTAAAAAATTTCGATTCTTGGAAAAAAAATTATTGATTTAGCCTATGTTACCCCCAGGGTTCTCAAGGTTTCCCTAAAAAAATACATCTGATTTGGTTCAGCCGTTTGACCAGCTATAGGTAACAAGTATATTGTGGAGGGAAAAATATAAGCTGTGGAGGGAAAACTATAAGCTATGAAGGGAAAAATATAAGCTGTGGAGGGGAAAATATAAGCTGTGGAGGGAAAAATATAAGCTGTGGAGGGAAAAATATAAGCTGTGGAGGGAAAAATATAAGCTGTGGAGGGAAAAATATCAGCTGTGAAGGGAAAAATATAAGTTGTGGAGGGAAAAATATAAGCTATGGAGGAAAAAATATAAGCTGTGGAGGGCAAAATATAAGCTGTGGAGGGAAAAATATAAGCTATGGAGGGGAAAAAAAAGCTGTGGATGGAAAAATATAAGCTATGGAGGAAAAAATATAAGCTGTGAAGGGCAAAATATAAGCTGTGGAGGGAAAAATATAAGCTGTAGAGGGAAAAAAAGCTGTGGATGGAAAAATATAAGTAATAACATTAATGTAATGATTAAGGATGAATGAACTTAATAACAGCAATTAGAAATAGAATAAACTTCGTTTACAGCTGATAGTTTTTAATTTATCATTGTATTTACATATTTCCAAACCAAATATTCAGAACAGAAATCCGGGGAAATTATAAGTTGTAAAGTTTGCTTTGAGCTGATGTAACTCCAAACAAACTATTCAGAAATAAAATTTTTTTTAAAAAGCCTCTTTATTCCGATCTTATCCCAATTTACCTTTAACAATTATATTTTAATTCTGGAAGGAAAAGGATTTAAAATAAGAATTAAAAGATTTAAAGTTTTTATCGTTCAAACATTGCCTAGACTGATACGAGATAATATAGGAATATGTCCAAGTGGACCCTTTTTTGAACTCTCTGGGGGGGGATAGATTCCTCTCTAAGGGGGGGGGGGGNGTGATAGATTCCTCTGAAAATCATAGTTTTTACTAAGCCCCCATAGACCCTCTCCGTATATGCCTCTGACTGATAGATTGTACAAGCGTATAAAATCTGGAATCCATAATATATAGATATGATATATAAATTATATTTATGATCAAATTTGATATTATAGAAGTGAACAGAAGGATAAATTTAGTTCATAACTATAAACCTCCCTTCAAACTTATCAAAACAGAGTTAAATACACTTTACACTTTCACTAGTTCCTAGTTCCCCGAGAAAATTCAAATTCTGTTAAATTCATCAGAAATGCTTTTTTTTATAAATAAGCTACAAATAGGCTTCAAAAATAACCAGAGATCAAGAATATAAAGATAGCCGGAGATCAAGAATATAAAGATACCTGGAGATCAAGAATATAAAGATAGCCGGAGATCAAGAATATAAAGATACCTGGAGATCAAGAATATAAAGATACCCGGAGATCAAGAATATAAATATACCCAGAGATCAAGAATATAAATATACCCAGAGATCAAGAATATAAAGATAGCCGGAGATCAAGAATATAAATATAACCGGAGATCAATAATATAAAGATACCTAGAGATCAAGAATATAAAAATACCCGGAGATCAAGATTATAAAGATACCTGGAGATAAGAATATAAAGATACCTGAAGATCAAAAAATGAAGGTACCTGAAGATCAAGAAATGAAGGTACCTGAAGATCAAGAATATGAAGGTACCTGAAGATCAAGAATATGAAGGTACCTGAAGATAAAAAATGAAGATACCTGAAGATAAAAAATGAAGGTACCTGAAGATCAAGAATATGAAGGTACCTGAAGATCAAGAAATAAAGGTACCTGAAGATCAAGAATATGAAGATACCTGAAGATCAAGAATATGAAGGTACCTGAAGATCAGGTCCTCTTGTTACAATGGGCAGGTATACGGAGAGAATAATGACAAGAATGAGAAGACAGGCGAATAGGAATAACCAATGCTGTCTCCGAAACCGTACACCTAAACAAAAATACATTTATCAAATATAATAATTACTTGTATCAAACTCAGATATTTTCATCCCTAATCTTTGCACAACTATAAACCTTTCATATTTTGAACTTTGAATTTTTGATCTAGATATTGAAATATCAAATATGAATTCTGTTAGATCAAATAATCTAAGTTTGAAATATCAAAGGTTTCCATCATTGCAGAGTTATAGGGTTAGAAAGTTTGTGGCAAATACTCAATTCTTTTATCTTTCATTAACAAGTTCAGTTGGCTCCAGTGCAGTGCTCCAACAAATTTTCTTAGAAGAAAATTTGACATTTCTTAGATTGAAAGTGAAGGCTCATTGACTATATTCAACCCTGACATCTGAATCACCATGATCTAAGAGGACATAAATATTTATCTAAATCTGTTTAGTAAACTATGTTGTTATCTATCTGTCTATCTCCAGATATCTATTATTGTGTATTTACTATCTAGCAACCTATCTCCACCAGCTGATGGAGATTGATGGAACCAATATCCCAAGAGAAGTTTCTAGGTTAGGACGGATATATAGATAGACAGATACATCACATATTATTAAAAATGAGGAAAAACAAGGATGAAAAGAAGTACTTGGAGATTTTATTAAAATGACAGTCAACGACAATTATTAAAGTACTTTCATGCCAGATTGAAATCTTACTTATTTTTTAGTAATAGCTCGTCATTTTAAAGAGCTATTGAGAAGAATTAAATTTCCAGAGTGAGAACCTTAAAACTCTAGGATATGCAGACGTCTTTACGACTCCAGTCATATTTTTAAATAGTTTAATGAACATGAAACACCGCAATTTTGTAGTATAAAAGACCCATTTGACTAATAAGTATTTTAATAAGTTACTAGAAATACTATTTGCTTTGCGACATCATCGCAAAAATGTCGTCTTCATATTCCACAGTTTTCTCGTTCTCATTGTAATAGGAATCAAATAGATATCTTTTTCATACTTCAGAGTAAGTAAGAAAATTCTTAATTTACATTATTAAAAAGAAGCAATGTTCAATAAAATAACATTTTTTTCTATACTTTGTAATATTTATAGGGGAAATAATCGAAGTCTGAAATAATGATGGTTAACGCCATCAGGCTGCAAAACTTTGGGGATTAGAAAAAAAGTTTGTCAGTTCCTTTCTAACTGGGTGTTTTGTTTTGTATGTTGCACCCACTGTTCTAAATTCTCCACAGTAAAGTTAAATCTGTTTAGTACTATCAATATTCTATATATTGAAACTAGGGGAGGAGCAACACAGCTATTTATTCTCAAAACATAAACATAAGAAACAATATAATCACTTCAGAGAGTAAGAACAAGGCACATAGATTAAGGCTGCTTATAAAATATCTCATCAATTTTTAAGACAGGGTTGACTTTGAAGTGTCTAAACTCCCTAAGCTTAGAATTTACCGCTCTAACTCACTTATGCTTTTCTGTAGCCCTTTACATATACATTTTAGCACTGTAAAGCACTTGTTGTTAGCTTTGATTTTTTAGAAGTAATTGGCAAAATTCTCAACGATTTTTGCTTGAGATCGTGAGACCATTAAATCACAGTGAAGGGGGTTTAAAGGGACTGTAAGCTTAATTTTAAATATGCAAAGATGACCAGGCCCGTAGCCAGGATTTGACCAAGAGGGGTGCAAAGAGGGGTGTTGTAGTATGGGCTCAGGAGCACCGAGTGAAACGTAGTAAACGAGGCGGGGCCCGAAGTTGCAGACCCCCCCCCCTGCATAAGTAATTTTAGCCTGAATTTTATGTTATTTAGGTTATTTTCTAATTTGTCAACAACACTTAAAGGAATTCAATCTTGAACTTAATGTTACAGAAAAAAAATATTTTTTCCCTAAATTTGATGTTTTGTCTGGTACAATTGGAAAATGCAAAGTTTTCTTTATTTAGTTTTTAGCTCAAATCTGACAATATTGGAAGACAGAAAATGTTGATAATCTTTATATTACTACGCACGTTCACAGATTTTTAATTGTCATTTCGCTAACAGTCCCTTTAATTTTATCATCAAAGGGATTGATGGCTTTCCAATTTTTTTAAGTTCATATTTTTCTAGGCAATATTTTAAAATTTGACAAACCATAAACCTTCCCTGAAGTCATGTAAGTTACCACAAAAAAATTGTGCCCGATCGGTTTAGCCGTTTTGACGTTCAGACAATCTTTATGTTATCCGACTTTTTTAAAGACCTAACCAGCAAAGTTTTAGGTCGGAAAAACAATAGATTCTATTACTCTTGTTCGATGAAGCCAATACAATACCAATTTGTATATATGAAGAAGAGTACCAGGTGTCACTAGCTGTAAACTCAATTTATTTAATTAGTTTTCTTACTGCACCTGATTCTTATTTTGCACATCATTTTAGGACAGCGTAATATCTTATTATCCCCCCTCCCACATAATTGATGTTATGCCCCTGAATTCGTTGTTTTGATCTCCTCCCACTGCAGTACACAGATTTGACGGTTCCTGGTCTATATATTTCTTGAGTTGGTCTAAACTTTTTAATATTATCAGATAAAACCTTAGTTGGTCTAAACTTTTGAATATTATCAGATAAAACCTTAGTTGGTCTAAACTTTTGAATATTATCAGATAAAACCTTAGTTGGTCTAAACTTTTGAATATTATAAGATTAACCTAAGTTGGTCTAAACTTTTGAATATTATCAGATAAACACTTGTTCTAAACAGCCAGGACTAACCCAAAGATATTTTCTATATATTTACTATACTGTGACACTTTTATTGAAATCGGAGCTTACTTTTTACTGCACAAATAAAATAAAACATTTTTACAATTATTGAATAACTAGCTTGGGAACCCAGCTTTGTCTGGTAGGTAAAAGTCAACTCACTTATCTTATAAATTGAAAACGAAGCTAGGAATATTCCCGTGGTTTTGCCGATTTTTCCAATCAAAATTTGAAGCAATTGTAATAATAAGAACATTCCCTTTATCATACCGAGTTCTCCGATCAAAATTGGAGGCAAATCGGTCCAGGGGTTTATGAGTTATGATCGGACACCCAACCAAACAGACAGACAAACAGAGATTACTTTTTTATTTATATATATATATATAAAGATGCGAATATGTAGTGTGTGACTAAAATGATTCTGATAAATATTAATATATATATCAGGGGGTTACCCATTATTTATATAATAAGAACTAAATAATAAGTCTTGTCAGAATAATAATTCAGAAAGATAAATTATCAAGATCAAGATGAAACTAATCTATTTTTATTCGAAGCACAACATTCAGCCATTAAATATAAACCAAGTAGGTGTGAAGGGGGGGGGGGGTATTTGTGATGAGTTTATTTCTTAAAACTTTAACGTTTAAAAATTTTTTCTTTCCTCACTTTTAAGTTAGTTTGTACTTAACTGTGGGATCAAAAATCTTGTAGAGGATCAACTTTTAGGATTTTATAGAATCTGTATTTTTCTCAGTATAAATTTAATTATAAGCATCTAACGAAAATGTAAAAAAGATATTTGTAATCTGTCCTGAGCGGAAAATGTTGATAATGTTGAATGCAACTAAATAGCTTAACTCATTATTCTTAATTTAAACTTTTTAATTTAGGAGTTTAACTCATTGACTTTGTATATATTGAAACCCATGACGATTACCCGATCATTCTTCATTTGAGCTTAAACATTAATCCAATTCTAAATACAAACAGACGACCTCAGTTCAATTAAGAAAAAAGATGAGAATTAACGAACTGATTAAGATTAGAACTAAGTGTTTGATGTTGAATTCTATTCAATTAAACATTTTTTTTTACTTTATTCATTCTACACTTTCAAGTTCTCAAATATTCTAATTATAACCTAGAAATTATTTTAAGTTTTCAATAAAAAAAAATGAAACTATGGGGCACTCAGTCCTCAAAATTTTCTAAAAATATTGAGAAATTAGTTTTTTAATTTAAAAAATCATTCATATTTTAGCTTTGTTGTACGTATACAATAGCCTTATTAAAATATTAATCGATGAAATAAGTCAAAGCTAGTTTTTTAGACTTAAATCAAATATTTTATAATTATACAAATGGACGGCAGTTAGCAGTTTATGGTGCATCTTTAATAACCATATAAAGATGTTTTGAAAAAAATATTAATTTTTCATAAATCGTTAATTACTGAATGAGTTTTCCCAAGTAGCCAATTTTCAGTATCGAATGTTTGCATCTAATTTTTATACAACTAGCCTTAGAGGGCGCTTCGCGCCCATCTCCTAAATTAATTGTGAACATGTTCTCTTTGTGTACATCGTAAAACAAAACAAAAATAATTCGCGGATTTTCACAAAAAATTTCGTGGATTTTCAAAATTTAAAAAAATTTAATGACGATCGAATTTTGATGGAGACAAATATTTGAAATTTTGATCATTCATAAACCTTCCCTGGGGTCCCGTGATGTCCCACAACAAATTTGGGCCCGATCGGTTCAGCCGTTTTGACGTTTATTGGATACAAACAGACAGACAGACAAAAAGACAGACAAACAGACAGACAAGCCAAATTTATATATAGATAAGGATTTATTTTTTTCCATGGAATAGGTTCACCCTTATTATAGAGAATAAACTGTTATTTTAAACCGAATTTATAACGAGGTGGTGACGTGACGTGGGGGGGGGGGAAGGGGGGGACTCTAAATTATTTATCCGGAATTCAAATCATTTTGCAGAAACCTTGAGAAATTCCAGGATTCAATAGATTAAATTGTTTTAAACTTGTAAAATCTTGAATGCTTGAATTAAATTAAAATTCTTTTAACTCCACACAAGAAAAACAAATAGTACTGTCTTTCAAGAATCAATAACAAAAATTATTAAAAAGATATTTTTAAGATTTAATGCATGTAATGTATATAGATAGTTTAAAGGACTTTAAATAAAATATTTGACCCTAAACTTTCTCATCATTTTTTTCTGTTTTATTCTGATTTTCTCTGTCCATTTATTTTTTTTCTTTTCTGTTTTATTCCAGATTTATCACAAGTTAAATCTTAAATCTGTTTAAATCTGTTCTTTTCCTGAACTGTTTCACTCCTGTTTTATCTTATTTTAACAATTGGCATTCCCCTCTTTTTCATGTTTTCTTCTCCTTAACCTTTCATGTTTTCATGTTTTCATGTTTGTAGACCTGTCAACTAGAATATATTTGATCCAAACACAACATTTAATTTTACTTTTACCTAGCATTTAAATAAATATTTTCGTGCAAAAATAAAAAAAAAAACTGCCAGTCTTTTGGTGTACTAATAATAGAAAAATAAATTAAACTGTGATTTCGGGCACCTCTCGTTTTTGAAACAATTTTTTTTAGCGTTTAAATATTACTCTTATTGCACAGATTTTTTCACATAAATTCTAAAAATTTAAAAAGTTTAAGAAATCTCTATCCATAAACCCTCCTAGAGATCGTATAATAAATCCCTATCCATGAACCCTCCTAGAGATCGTATATGGAATCCCTATCCATAAACCCTCCTAGAGGTCGTATAAGGAATCCCTATCCATAAACCCTCCTAGAGATCGTATAAGGAATCCGTATCCATAAACCCTCCTAGAGGTCGTATAAGGAATCCCTATCCAAAAACCCTCCTAGAGGTCGTATAAGGAATCCCTATCCATAAACCCTCCTAGAGATCGTATGAGGAATCCGTATCCATAAACCCTCCTAGAGGTCGTATACGGAATCCCTATCCATATACCCTCCTAGAGGTCGTATAAGGAATCCATATCCATATACCCTCCTAAATATCCTATGAGGAATCCCTGTCCATAAACCCTCCTAGAGATCGTGTAAGAAATCCCTGTCCTTGAACCCTGCTAGAGATCGTATAAGGAATTCCTATCCCTCTAGGAAACAGACAAGCCATATATTCAAAATATAGAGTAACTAGGCTTTCGGGGCGCTTCGAACCCATCTTCTATTTAAACTTTTAATTGTGGCTATATCTGTGAGCATCTACTCTTTGTATAGTATAAAACAAAAACAACAAAATATTGCGGATTTCATAAAATTTTTTCGCGCATTTTCAAAATTTTACAAAAATAAAAAAATTTCAAATAAAACTTTTTCAAATTTTGATCATTCATAGACCTTCCCTGGGGTCACGTGAGGTCCCACACAAAATTTGGGCCCGATCGGTTCAGCCGTTTTGACGTTTATTGGATACAAACAAACATACAAACAGACAGACAAACAAACAGACAGACAAGCCAAATTTATATATAGATAACAGAGATGTTATTAGGGTGCAAAGATTGGAAATTAGACAAATTCTTTCTTATGTTGGGGTTGGTGAAGTCCTATTGATTTATCTTGAAGGTTGTTCAATAATATTCCCGAGTATTCCAATCTACAGAGCAATAAAACCTGAGAATGGTTTACTATCCTTTACTATCCTATAAACTATACCCTTTTATTTGTGTTAGACATCCGAACTCAGATAAAAATTTATGAATTTCGTCCAATTTTAACCGGTTGAATAATTCCCATTTTTCTAACTAAAGGGGCAGTTGACTTAATTTCAATTGACTCCACATTCATGTTCGATTCACAATGGTACCATGGAAAGCTTTGTCTGTTCCAAGAATGCATTAGATATCCATTTTCTTCTCTTTGAAAACTAAATATATGATTTCTCTAAAAATTGACTTAAAACGACGATATCTTCTCTATTATTGATCCAATAAAGTTTTATAGGGTACAGTTGTGAATCGGGCATTTCCCTCTTTAAATGGAATATGACCTAAAATTACGGCGAAAATCTTGGCGTTAAGAATTTTTGTTTACAAAACATTTTATCAAAGGCGAGACAAGTATTTGTATATTATGAATCTATCATTTAATATTGCTTGCATAATGTAATATATATATCTTTATACTGTGCAAACATATTTATTTATTTAGCTTGAATCTGCATCAGCTATCAATATAGAAATGTATGTAAACAGTGTACTGTTACTAGGCAACTGTTTTCTTATCTATATCTATCTATATATACATCTATATCTATTTATATATACATCTATATCTATATATACATCTATGTCTAATTATATATACATCTATATCTATCTATATATCTATCTATATCTATCTATATATACATCTATATAGACAATCAGTTGTTTCAGTTTAGCCAATTTCTCGGATATTAACGTAGGATTAAATTAGTCTGAAGATGTATAAGAAGAGGTGATTATGCATTGATCTCGATATTTACAATTCTGAAGTTTTCAGCTCTGTAAAAATAACTTACTTTTTACTGCCGACCTGCCGATTAGAACTTACTTTTAATAGGGACCTGCCAAATAAAAACTTACTTTCACTGCCGACTTGCCTATTAGAACTTACTTTTGATAGGGACCTGCCCAATAAAAACTTACTTTCAATGGTGACCTACCCAATAAAAACTTACTTTCAATTGTGACCTACCCAATAAAAACTTACTTTCAATGGTTACCTACCCAATAAAAACTTACTTTCAATGGTGACCTGCCCAATAAAAACTTACTTTCAATGGTGACCTACCCAATAAAAACTTACTTTAAATTGTGACCTGCCCAATAAAACTTACTTTCGATGGTGACCTACCCAATAAAAACTTACTTTCAATGGTGACCTGCCCGATGAACTTGCCGACCCTGAAGGTGATCCCTGTTTCCTCCTCCTCCTCCACCTCCTTCAAGAACCCGTTGGAGCAGCTGCCATTAGAAGCTCGAGCCAACTAAACAAAGAAGAATGAAAACAAATAAGACTTTGTTCTAGACGTTTCGCATTTCTTATTTATCAAATGTTTTTCAAGATTTAAAAAGTTTTGGAAGAAAATCCTTGAAGAAGTTTTATAAATTTGTATATTGTATATTGTACATATATTCACAAAATATAGAAAATAACACTGTACAAGTAGCAGAGAAAAATGTTAACTTTACATTTATGAATCAACCGTTGAAGATTGAAAATTAAGAAACCAAGAGAATTTTTAAAGAATACCATGGTTAAAAATATTTATGTTTCGTTTTTGATATTATTGAATAAGAAGAAAGTATATTCATTTCTCAGATTGAAGACATTAATATTGAAATATAGACTCTAATATAGTTCTGCAATGCGCAACTCGGAGAATCATTAGTGAACAGAACATCAAAGAGAAATATCAGGAAAACCTGGAAACCCAGAAAACCCTAGAAGTCCAGAAGAACTTGGAAACCCAAAATACCCTGAAAACCCGAAAGAGCCTGTAAACCCGGAAAAACCTGAAAACCCGAAAGAGTCTGTAATGTAAACCCAAAAGAACCTGGAAACCCAAAAGAACCTGGAACCCAAAAGGACCTGGAAACCCAAAAGAACCTGGAATCAAAGAAGAACATGGAATCCCAGAAGAGCTGGAAAACCAGGAGGGCCTGGAAATTCAGGAGAACGCGGAAATATCAAAAACACCAGTAGAACCAGGATCCTGCAGGCGGACTAGATTAGCAAGGAAAATCAGGATAGCTAGGAGAACCAGGAAAGATAGGAAAACTAGAATATCTAAAAAAGCATAAGAGCTAAGTGGAGAAAACCTGAAGATTTAGGAGAACAAGAAAAGGAGAAACAGGAAAAACTGGAGGAGCAGGAGAACCAAGAAAACAAGGTGAAACAGGAAAACTATGAAAACCAGGAAAACAAATGAAACAGGGGAACTTTGAAAACCAGGAAAAAAGCAGAACCAGGAAAACTAGGATAACTAGGAAATTTGGGGAAACTAAGAGAAACAAAAATACCATGAAAACTAGATGAACCATGAGAACCAAGAGAGGTAGGAGAACCAAAATATAGGTTTGGGATATATGTACAAATTGTTAGTGCAAGATACATAATATGTGTGATTAGTATCCATAATTCATTGAATCAAATGTTATTTCTCTAGAATCAAGATAAATTATCTCCCGGTTCTACGATGTAATCTCTGGTCTTGAGGATAAGGATTATATAACAATTGTGTCCAGGATATACATATTAGAAGTTAGTCGCAATCTCAAAGAACTCACTATTTTAAAGTAGCATGTCCAATTCACAACGGTACCCTTGAATGTTTTGACTGATAAAGAAAGCATGATATTCCCATGATTTTATTGTGGTTTCTCCTTGAAATCACTTACTGATTTCTGATTTATAATCAGTGTATGCAATTATTAGAATCAAACACTTTTCTAGACATCTCCAACATTATTGATGAGATACAGGGATGAGGCGTACCTTTGTGAATCTGGCATTCCCCTATTTATTTGGAAGGCGACTTGAAACTACAAGGGTAGAACAATTTAAACTTATTCTTTCCTCGTGGGAACACAAAACCTATCTCATAGGGGTCGACTCGTATGTATTGGTTTAGGATATCCATAAACTGTACTAGGTTCAGGATATTGATAAACTGTACTAGGTTCAGGATATCCATAAACTGCAGTAGGTTCAGGCTATCGATAAACTGTACTAGGTTCAGGATATCCATAAACTGTAGTAGGTTCAGGATATCGATAAACTGTACTAGGTTAAGAATATCCATTAACTGTAGCAGGTTCAGGATATCAATAATCTAAAACTAACGTTGGACAGTAAATTGATAATCTAATCCTGTTTCCTATACTAAGCAATCTTAATGAAAAATCTGTGGTATGGTGCAGTGTATAAAAAATACAAATAATAAATATCGGATACTAATATTCACACTAAACTCAGCTCCGGTAGTATTCTACTACAGGAGAAGGTCTATGCATGATATTTCTGCTGTGAACTAATGATCCAAGAAAGCTGAAACCATTAACCTTCTCCTTCTTCCATACTCTCAGGTTGATGTATTAACAGAGTTTGCAATCTAAACCTCAATAAGAAAAAGAAAACTATTGTATCGATTTCACATTCATTCATTCTTACAGTTCTCTCAACCAACATCAGGAGAAACTTTTTCACTTTTTCTTCCATTTAGAACTTTAATTAATATCAATGCTTTTTTGAAAATCATTCTGAAAAACTTATAATTTTGAGCGAGGGATAGGAGGGGAATATGGTGGGAAAGGTTGGAGAAAAAGAAGCTGGAAAGTATTAATTCGCCAGAATTTATCGCAAAAATGTGCACTGCACTTTCATATTCAGTCGAGAGAGATCAGAAGCTTAAAATAAAATGAGTTTACTTAATCACCACAATAAAAAATTAAAAGTTTTGTAAAAAAAAACAAAAAGTTCTCTCACCTTTCTATTTATTGAGTAATTTTCTCTAAAACATTCACAGCCGTCGTCCATATGGTTACAATGCCCTGATCTACCGTTGAGCTGAGGAGGAGCAGGGTGAGGATGATATAATCCATCCGTATCCTCTACTTCTTTATATACATGGTAGGGGGGACCAGGGGGACCCTGATAGTGGGGCCCCGGGGGTCCCTGGTAGGGGGGGCCTGGTTGCCCCTGGTAGGGGGGGCCTTGTTGACCTTGATAGGAGGGCCCTGGTTGCCCTGGACCCCTGTAATGGTATCCGTCCCCTGGAAGTATAACAGGATCTGCACCGGTTGCATCTATGAGATATGTGCTAGCACTTGTCATAGATATATATCCTTGAGATCTTCTACTCTCCAGGGTTCCTTTACTCTCCCCTGTCAGATGACTGTCTATACTCTGAGAGTCCCAGGGATCAGAGGCAGGAGGAGGAGGTCCCATATCACCCAGCACCTTACCACAGGTGCATGGGGGAGAAGGTGGAGGGGGTACACTAGAGTCCGGAGATAAAACATGAACCGGTATAGAAGGATGGCAGTGTGTAGGATGTGTGTGTGGTACTGGAGGAAGGGGAGGGAGGAGAGGTTGGGAAAGTTTCTGTGGAGATGTATCTAGTCCTTCTCCGGACTCATACTTCTGCTGTCCAACCTTGGACGGGTTCTTGCTCGTCTTCTCCGGTTGGAGTTGTTTAGCTCTTTTATGTCTGACAACTTCAAGGGCAGTCTGCTTATCCATTCCATCCAATCCATCGTCGGAGAAACTTCTAGACTTGGAGAGAAATCTGAAATAGAGAAGAATGAATACATTTACTCCGGGTACTTGAGTGGACTGTAAGTATATTACCTAACAGTATTGGTATGCAGAGTATCGGAGGAGGGTTGTCTGTGTCTAGTTCCGGAGAGAATATCAGATGCCGAGCTCTGACGTTGGAAGGTTTGATGAGGTACCCTGAGACAAGGTTGTGAACCATTTCTCCGAAACTTCCCGGGAATCTGTTTCAAGGGAACAAGATAATATAATCAAACTTAGCAAACATAAAACATTCTTCTCTCAACATTCAAACTTTCAGATGCAAAATGTCCGGTTCTTTCAAACAAATTATCTATTTATGTGTATTATCAAGATAAATTATAACCAGGGTTTATAGAACTGTCTTTAAAGAGATATTCTAAAAAATGTATATCCTTTTCTCTAAAATAATGCACTTTAAGTTCAAATATCTCCATTTAAACATACATAATTTTGTCGTGCACAACTAGGTTATATAGAAACATAAACACGTTTAAACCCAAATTGATCAAAGGCGTCCCAACATGATCAAACATAGACATTACTTGATCAAACACAAATATACAATGATCAAATAAATATCACATGATCAAATACCTAGATGGATAGACAGATAAAAGCTAGATATATCTAAATATAAACCCAGCGGTTTGTTATTAGATCTAGAAAAGAACCAATAAATTGAGTTTTCCAGCAAATATAAATATTATTGTACAATATTTACCTCATATTAGGGTAAAGGGTAATTAATGACTAATGATATGTATGGAATAAAAAATTTGCCTTGTAATATAATAATGGACGACATATTAAAGTAGTGTTCTTGAACCCTGAAATGGACCTGGGACCCCTTTAACGTATAATGGACCTGGGACCCCTGTAATTTCTAATGGACCTGAAACTGCTGGGAAAAGAGAACAAAGTTTTGGTTTAATCTTTCAATCCATTAAACCAATTAGATTCTGAAGAGATATATAAACTAACTAAATAATTAGAAGATCCTTACTTTCAAATTTTCCACTCATTATTCTTATAATTTTTTACCTAATTTGAATTCTATTCAAGGAGATATGTATTTTTTCAACCCTCGGACAACCTACGGACAACATACGGACAGCCAACGGACAATTGATTATTGCTTTTTATTCAACAGATTTTGTTTAAGTGCTAAGTTGGGAACCCCGCTTGGTCTGGAACATTTTCCCTATAAGTCAACCTACTTAATTTTCAAACCAAACTAACATTTCTGTGATTATTTCTAAATCCTAATAAAAATGGCAAATATATACTTTTCCCGTGTCATATTGTGAAGGATGGAAGCTAATAAAGAATTAAATCTGTTCCCCTGCCTTGTTCATTGGTTGCTCTGCCCTGGATAAAGATGAAGGGGAACCTCTCCTCCTATCAAGGTTGGGTTGAGATCTTCTAAATCCATCCTGAGATTCTAACCTAGAATCTATAGAATACTGAGATCCCATCATTGGATCCCGGTGCAGTTGGGATCCCCGGTTAAAATCTGATCCTCTCATGGGATCCAAACTGTGTTGTGATCCGTTCATCTGATCCCTAGCATACATTAATCCTCTTGTAGGATCCATATTCTGCTCGGAACCCCGTGGAACCCCATTAGATTGTGTTCTAGAAGACTGCTGGTTCCTACTCTGGACTATCCCGGATACTGAAGTTCTCTGCTGGGTCGTGCTCCTGGAGCTGGGTTGGGATTGTGAACTCCGGGTAGAGAATACAGCACTGGGTGGATTTCTTACTGCGGATTCTCTGATAGTTTAGATTCCTTTATTCTCCTGAAAACTCTGCAGGATAAGTAGATGGGATCGTGTAAAAGCTAAAGGTTTTCTTTATATACCAGCCCCCCTCCCCCTCCCCCATACCTCCCCTCCCATTCCCTCCTCTCCCTCTCCTATCCTTTCGTCCCCCTCTATCAAACTTTTCCCTTTAAAAGTTAAATTTTCTTGCATTTTCGAAGGTCAAAATAAAGTGGAGGAAGGAATCAAATTAGTCTTGTTAGGTATAGTTCGATCAAGGAAGTTGCAACAAACCTGAAAGCTTTGCAGGGAAGATGCAACAAACTTTAAATGAAATTAGGCAGGAAACAAAATAAATGACATGAAGCGCACATGAAAAATTTCCTAAATTCCTAAGGAAAAAAATTGCAAAAAAAATAGTAAGTAGTGGGAGGATGCAACAGTTAGTTCAAAATGAGAGGACGGATGCAATAATTAGGGAAAGATAACCAGGAAGGTTGCAACTAACAAATTTCAATTTGTTGCCTAGTTCTCCTTGAGAAGTTTTTATTGTGTTTGCTGAAGAAACATTGGAAAATTAAAGAATAGAAAGTTTGTAATTATTTGCTCTAGTTTCCAGGTTCTACTACTACTACCAGTACTGTTTCTAGGTACTGGATGGAGTACGGATACCAGTACTGTTTCTAGGTACTGGATGGAGTGCTACTAACAGTACTGTTTCTAGGTACTGGATGGAGTACTACTACCAGTACTGTTTCTAGGTACTGGATGGAGTACTACTACCAGTACTGTTTCTAGGTACTGGATGGAGTACTACTACCAGTACTGTTTCTAGGTACTGGATGGAGTACGGATTGGAAGAGAACTCTGGATAAAGAGATAAAAAGAGAATAAAGAATATAGAAGCAAGGGAGTGTAAGAAATGAACTATCAGAAACCAATGGTCCAATAATGAACTGATTACTCGTCCAAGACTCTAATTTTCTAATATTTATATCTTTGCTACCTGATGGTTTAACTTTTTTATTCCAAATTTTAGCCTATTGATCCAGCAGAATTTAGAGTTTAAAATATCAAAGGTCAAGATATCAGGCTGCGAAGTTATACGATTTTAAAAATCAGGTTTGAGTCGAGTACTCAGTTCTTGTTTGAAGAGGAGTATAGTAAAGCAGAATGAGAAGAATAATGAAATATATTCCTGAAAGAAAGGAGAGCATATTGGGTCTGTTCTCCGGGCACCAGAGCACAGTTGGTCTCCAAGGACGGAGACATCAAAACCACTCCCTGATATTTTATTTTTATTAGAAACCACTCCCAGGTATTTATCTTAATTAGAAACCACTCCGTGGTATTTATCTTAATTAGAAACCACTTCCTGGTATTTATCTTAATTAGAAACCACTCCCTGATATTTTATTTTTATAAGAAACCACTCCCTGATATTTTATTTTTATAAGAAACCACTCCCAGATATTTATCTTAATTAGAAACCACTCCCTGGTATTTATGTTAATTAGAAACCACTCCCTGATATTTTATTTTTATTGGAAACCACTCCCTGGTATTTATCTTAATTAGAAACCACTCCCTCGTATTTTAATCTTATTAAAAACACTCACTGAGATTTCATTTTCATGAAAAAAATACTCCTTTCCAGTTATTTTTATTGTGGAAAACTACTTTACATGTTTTCATTACATCATTCTAGAATTAATAATTTAATATCAACTTTTAAACTACAAACTAGCAAGAAAAGAAAAGTTTGCAGCATCTAATAATTTGATATACAGAGCTTGGTTTTGTTACAACCAAGCACTCTATAAACTGTAAAGATTTTAATATTCTGTACACAATTCTCTTCATTTTACTCCAGACTAGAACTCATCCATGTCTCATACACAAACCTTGATACCAGTACTCAATCCATACCATTCCGTTATCTAGCCTCTAAGACTGTCCTCTAAGCGCTTATGCTGTTCGTTAGACCCTTTTCCCTGTCCTCTAGGCTCTCACGCTCCTTACTGGTCGTCCTGCCTTTCCTCTATGCATTCTCATTGTCCTCTAACTGCTTGTCCTTATATATACTTACTACACCATCAATCTTGTTCTCTGGTCCTTTTACGTCCTAAGCATTCCATCTCTCTTTTTGTTCTTTACTCTTGTCCTTGTTTATGTTATTATTACTTTACCCTCTTAACCATCTTAGTTCAGTTATCCTCTTGGTCCTCTTTCTAGGTTTCTAGTCCCATCACGTGGCCTCTATAGTCCTCCCTCGTGGTCTCTTAGTCCTCCCTCGTGGTTTCTAGTCCCATCTCGTGGCCTATAGTCCCATCTCGTGACATTTATAGTCCCATCTCATAGCCTGTAGTCCCATCTCCTGGCTTTCACCCACATCCCGAGGCTTCTAGCCCCATCCCGTGGCCTTTAGCCCCATCCCTTTGCCTCTATATAGCCCCATCTATGTACTTTCCTCTCTCTCAATCTACAGCCTAAAAACTACGTTTTACTCTACTTTAACCCTCTTTTTATCGTCTACGGGTTATAATGTCAGTCCTTTTCCCCTTTACCTCCTTCATATCCCACCCTTGTTCTCGATCCACAAACTATCTTTACATCTTACCCCTTTCCCTGTCCTGCATTCATTACCCTGTTATTTAGATTTTTCTTCTGTCCCTCTAGCCTCTAGCCTCTAGACATGCTGATCCGTTTAGATTACTGGTAAACCGTTCCTGACATCTGTTCCTTCTTTCTTATCAAGTTCTCTCTAGTCTCTAGTCTCTAGTCTGGCCAAGAATATAAGATTATCGGGTGTTTATATACTACTTTAACGACCTGTCTCAACTCTGGAGGAGGAGAATGGGAGTCAATATATCTGTGAACCTCAACCTCTCCGGTTCTTCCTTAACATAGAGTATTCCTCAGTATAGATGTATACATGGAGATATATATATATATAAGACTGTTCAGTGTTCAGCGATCGGTGTAAAATGTAAAGTGTTAATATCCAAGACTGATGATATTGAATTTTTCTCGGATTTTCCATTCTTCGGACTCAAGGGTGAAGTAAGAATAGAAATGCTGATCCGAATTTTTAACCAGCATAATCATAATTCTTTTATTCTTTTATTCTTTTCAAACTTGAGGCAGAAAATTGGAGGATAGAGGTATGGACGGAGTAAGTTGGGAACATGATGTATAAGAAAATAAATATCCATTTTTTTATAATTTTTGGCAAAGTTTCTCTTTTTGGTTTTCATCCCATGAAGATCCTAATCAAATGTTGGGTCTGCAGATTTATGTTTTCACAAAATTAGAAATTTCAACTCAACCCTCTAATCAGACATCAAAAGGTTTCTCTGGTTTGAAGAGCAAAGTATAAAATATTTCATATTTGATTAAGAGATTTTACTGTTGAAAACCTTTCTTTCTTAAATAAACCTTACCTTTCTTTTCCTCCATACTTTCCTTTCCTTTCCTTACCTTCCCTTTCTTCTCCTTCATACTTTACTTTCCTTTCTTTCCCTTCCCTTCCTTCTCCTCTATTTTTTCCATTCCTTCCCATACCTTCTTTCTCCTCCATACTATCCTTTCCTTCCCTTCCCTCCCTTCTCCTCCATACATTCCTTTCCTTTCCTTCACTTCTCTCCTTTCTCTATACATTTTCCTTTCCTTTCCTTACCCCTCCTTCTTCTCCATACTTTACTTGCCTTTCTTTCCCTTCCCTTCCTTCTCCTCTTTACTTTCCACTCCTTCTCTTACCTTCCTTTTTCTCAATACTTTACTTTCCTTTCTTTCCCTTTCCTTTCTTCTCCTCCATACTTTCTTTTCCTTCTCTGACCTTCCGTCTTTTAAAATTTTTATTTTCCTTCCTTTTCTAATTTAAAACGTTTAAAACCAAATTAAATGTGCAAATAAAGTTGTTACTTTTAAAATTGTAAAAGAACGGTCGAATAAATGACTAGATGATGTCTATGCAAAGGATTTATGTATAAATATAAATAAAATTCTTGGACCAGGAATCCTCCCAGAATAGAAGAATAAAAGAGAAAACTATTTATATCCACGTTTTTGTCAACTGACGTTGCATTAGGGAAATAGAGGTCTAAACTTTGGGTTGATCTTGATATCCACACTGTTCAAACTTTTATATTGAGAGGTTAACCCTTAATTTTTAGTTGATGACTTCCTTCTCCGGGATATTCAAAATAAATCAAATTAATCCTTTGGATTACAAATAGAACCCAAAAGTTTCGAGCTCTGGATAGTTGAAACAAAACATAGAAATTCTTCACTCACCTTTTCTGCTCGATTTACGCTTGACCTGATGGACCGGATGGACCGGATGGACAGGATGGACAGGATGGACAGGATGTTCGATCAATCTTCTCTCTTCACAAGATCTCTGATCAGAACGAGCTTGAGATTGATCCTGAAGGTTAGTTCTATGACTAGGATCCTGGTTCCTCGATCCTTTATCCGATGATCGTCGAACTGAACTTGAGCGATGAATCACATGATCATTATACTGATCGGATCTATAATTAGTCCGACCTGACTCTGGCCGGTATATCACTTGCTCGGAGTTGGTTCGAGCTGAACTAGTTCTCTGAACCTGGTTCTCCGGCCTGGGATGAGATCTGCCGGGGTTGTGCCTGGAGTGAGGTCTAGGAGGAGGAGAGGGAGGGATGAGGTATCCCTGGTGAGGAGGAACAGGAGGAGGAGGATGGTCGGAGTAGTTCCGAGGTAGGGAGGAAGAAAAAGAACGGGGTAGAGTTCGGTGATCTAGGTACACGCTTTTAAAATAAGTTATCAATTATTTTTTTTTCTTGGGAGGGATTTTGAACATCAGCTCAACCATGTATTCATTTCTTTAAGATGTCATTAATCGGTTTAACTTTACATTTTAAAAGAGTTTAATATACAAACTGTTTGTATAACTTATATTAACTATTTTTTAAACAATACAAAATATACAATTTTGTAATGCACCCTCCAACGCCCCCCGTCCTTTTCCTTAATATTTCCCTTCTTATCCCAAGCCCTTTCCTTCATTAAACCTTCTCTTCAATCTCATACAAGGAGAAGAACTAGAACCAGGTTGCAACAGAATGTTTGTGGCATTGTGCCGAGATCTAGGTTGCCAAAATCTCTTCTCTCTTTCTTACTCTATCAATCAATCAAACAAACAGACAAAATTAAAACTGGAACCAGTTAAAAGGGATTGTAAACACAATTTCAAGGGAAATTTTGTTGAAAGTAACCGATTCAAAACGATACCTTTAAAAATGGTAAAAAATATAATCGCTTTAATATGTAAATTTTGATCATTTCTTATGCTAGTTTTTCTATAAAAGCCATTTGCTGATTTAATGCTTACTAGGTTTTTAGGGCGCTTCGCGCCCATCTTCTATTTAAATTGTGAACATGTTCTTTTTGTTTACATTTTAAAACAAAGAAGAAGAAAATTTTGCGCATTTTTAAAAAAAAAATTCGCGGATTTTCAAGAATTTTAATTTTTTGCAAAATTAAAAACCTTTAAACACATTTTTTTAAAAATTTTTATCATTCATAAACCTTTCCTGTGGTCACGTGATGTCCCACAAAAAATTTGGGCCCGATCGGTTCAGCCGTTTTGACGTTTATTGGATACAAACAAACAGTCAGACAAGCCAAATTTATATTTAGATGAGACAGAAAACTAAGTTTTCATTTGAAATTACGATTTGACCCAAAAGAGCGAGAAATAGACTTATTTTAAAATTTCCTGAAGATTGTGAACGACCTCCACTTTTCTCTCTAGATCTTGCTCCAGGTCCTACAGAACCTGACAGGGTTGAGTGTTGAGACCTGGAGTTATTAAACCATTCAACCAGTGAGAAATGAACTGTGTAAGTATGTATGTAAATGAGGATGGAAAGGTCAGATTAAGGAGAGCAGTGAGCACTTCAGAACACTCAACAGTGAGAATTTATATCTGAAATATTCTGCAATCTCTATCTAACCATTCCTTACATCTACTAGACAAAATTTACCAGAATGTAAAAACATTCAAGGAGTTTGATATGAAAATCTAAAAATAAATCTACTGAAGTTGGCAAATATTCTGGCTTTTAGACCAGAATTTATCCAACCAAAAACATAGAGAAATAAATGGATGGGGGGGGGGGGGGCAGGAAGGAAAAATATAAAATGAATGATAAGAGAATGATTGATGAAAATTTATAGATTTAATAAATATGTTTTAAAGAATTGAAGATGCTTGGATATCGGATAAAAGCGAAAGACTGAATCAATGAAATAATAAATAGCAGATTAAAGGATTAAGGAAGAAATGAAAGACTAAAATTCAAGGATGAATAAAGAAGTGAAAGAATTAAAAACAAGGATGAATAAAGAAATGAGAGATTGAAATTCAAGGATGAATAAAGAAGTAAAAGAATGAAGTTCAAGGATGAATAAAGAACTTAGAGATTGAAATTCAAGGATGAATAAAGAAATAATTGACTGAATCAAGAATGGGGAAAAGAAGTAATGACCGAAATTCAAGGATGAAAAAAGAGATGAAAGACTAAATCAAGGATGAATAAATAGATGAAAGACTGAAATTCAAGAATGAATATATTTAGAGATGAAAGAATGAAATTTAAGAGTAAATAGATGAACGACAAAACCAAGAATGAATTAGTAAACGAGAGACTGAAATTCAAGGAAGGATAAAGAAATGAAAGACTGAAACTCAAGAATGAAGAAAGAGATGACTGACGATTTTCGAAATAAATGACTGGAATTCAAGGATTAATAAAGAAATAAAAGGATAAATAAAGGATAAAAGGATGAATAAAGGATAAAAGGATGAATAAAGGATAAAGGATGAATAAAGGATAAAGGATGAATAAAGGATAAAGGATGAATAAAGGATAAAGGATGAATAAAGGATAAAGGATGAATAAAGGATAAAGGATGAATAAAGGATAAAGGATGAATAAAGGATAAAGAATGAATAAAGGATGAATAAAGGATAAAGGATGAATAAAGGATAAAGGATGAATAAAGAATGAAAGGATGAACAAGGATGAATAGATGAATTTCCTGCTCTGTGTTTGGTTTCTGGAGTATCCTGGAACCTCATTATTCTCTCGTAACTAAACAAGGAAACATAAAAACATAAAATACAAGATGTAAAATTTTATCACATTCTTTTCTTTTATTAGTTTTTTCTTCTTTACTCTAAACATACTTCTGTATATTCTAAACCCACTTCTCTCTTCTCTAACCCTGCTTCTAAGTACTCTAATCCCTCTTCTCTCTACTTTAAACCTACTCTCAACTCTAAACCTACTTCTTTATATTCTAAACCTTCTTCTTTCTATTCTAAACCCACTTCTCTCTACTTTACCCTGCTTCTACTCTTCTCTCTACTTTAAACCTACTCTCTACTATAAACCTAATTCTCTCTACTCTAAACCTAGTTCTATCTACTCTAAACCTACTTCTCTCTACTCTAAACCTAGTTCTCTCTACTCTAAACCCACTTCTCTCTACTCTAAACATACTTCTCTCTACTTTAAACCTACTCTCTACTATAAACCTAATTCTCTCTACTCTAAACCTAGTTATATCTACTCTAAACCTAGTTCTATCTACTCTAAACCTGGTTCTATCTACTCTAAACCTACTTCTCTCAACTCTAAACATACTTCTCTCTACTCTAAACCTACTTCTCTCTACTCTAAACCTAGTTCTATCTACTCTAAACCTACTTCTCTCTACTCTAAACCTACTCTCTCATCTAAGTTTACTTCTTTATAACCTACTTCTATCTACTCTAAACCTACTCTCTACTCTAAACCCACTTCTTTTTACTCTAAACCTATTTTCTACTCTAACCCCGCACTCTACTCTAAACCAACTATCTAATCTAAACCTACTCTCGACTCTAAACCTACTCTATATTCTAAACCAACTCTCTACTCTAAACCAACTATCTACTCTAAACCTACTCTCTACTCTAAACCTACTCGCTGCTCTAAACCTACTCTCTACTATAAACCTACTCTCTACTTTAAACCTACTCTCTACTATAAACCTACTACTTTAATCTATACCCTTTACATTGAACTTCTCTCTACTCTAAACCTACTTTTCTCTACTCTAAAACTAGTTCTCTCTACTTTAACCCTACTTCTCTCTACTCTAAACTTTCTTCTTTATTTTAAACCCACCTCTCACTCCTTTAACCCTAATTCTCTCTATTCTAAACCTACTGCTCTCAACAATGTTTAATAAAAGTGTTTTTTTTAAAGACTAGATTGTTAGCTTGATGATGAATTAATTTATATAAAAACTCCGGGTTGAAATAAAACTAGGTCACGAGAAAAGAGTGAGGAGTGAAACCAACCTTATCTTTGGTCCATCTTTGATCCTGCATTTCATCTCTACATCAGAGTATTAGACCAGGGAACTTCATGTTCTCACAAATCTCCTAAAATAGATAAAAATATTAGAAACTCAATGAAAACAGTAAACTAAATATTTACCCTGTGAATGCAAAACAATAAACTTAATGTTTGAACTGTGGACAAAACCATTAAACTTAATGAGTTTACTGAGGACGCAAACATTAAACTTATTGAGTTTACTGAGGACGCAAACATTATACTTAGTGAGTTTACTGAGAACGCAAATATTAAACTTAATGAGTTTACTGAGGATGCAAAACAGTAGATTTAATATGTATACTAAGGACGTAAAACAGTGAGAGTTATGTGTGTAGAGTGGAAGTTTTGCGTTATTGTGGATGCAAAACAGTAAACTTATTGTGTATACTGTGGACGCAAAACAATAAACTTATTGTGTATATTGTGAATGCAAAACAGTAAACTTTTTGTGTATATTGTGGACTCAAAACAGTAAACTTATTGTGTATGTTGTGGACGTGAAACAGTAAACTTATTGTGTATATTGTGGACGCAAAACAGTAAACTTATTGTGTATATTGGGGACACAAAACAGTAAACTTATTCTGTATATTTTTGAAGCAAAACAGTAAACTTATTGTGTAAATTGTGGACGCAAAACAGTAAACTTATTGTGTATATTTTTGACGCAAAACAGTAAAATTATTGTGTATATTGTGGACGCAAAACAGTAGACTTATTGTGTATATTGTGGACGCAAAACAATAATTTTATTGTACTTATTGTGGACGCAAAACAGTAAAATTATGGACGCAAAACAATAATTTTATTGTACTTATTGTGGACGCAAAACAGTAAAATTATTGTACTTATTGTGGACGCTAAACAGTAAAATTATTGTGCATATTGTGGACGCTAAACAGTAAAATTATTGTGCATATTGTGGACGCAAAACAGTAAAATTATTGTGTATATTGTGGACACAAAACAATAATTTTATTGTACTTATTGTGGACGCAAAACAGTAAAATTATCGTACTTATTGTGGACGCTAAACAATAAAATTATTGTGCATATTGAGGACGTTAAACAGTAAACTTATTGTGTATACTGAGGACACAAAACGATGAGATTTATGCGTATACAGTGGACGATTATTGCGTTGGTTGTGGACGCAAAACAGTAAACTTAATGCGTATATTGTGGACGCTAAACAGTATTGTCTGTCTGTAATAATTTGAGGTCTTTACTATTCATTATGGAATACTATATATACTGAAAACTATTATTCAGTCATGTTTACATTTTCATTAAATGCCTGGTTTACAAGTTCGGAAAAAGGATATTAATGATTCTTGAGTAATGTTATAAGAACCTAATGTTCTATAATTTAAAATTATAGGGCATTTTAATTTTTTACTTTCAATATACATATATCAAGATTAAGTTCGACATTTTGTAAGAGCTCTACATGATTTTACACTAAAACCTTTTCTAGTATATCAAAATTATTAAAAGCGATTTCATTATCCTTCATAAATTTTAAATTTAGCCATTTTAACTTGAGCTGTATGCATTTTTTCCATTAATTTAGATTATAATTTTTCAAAAAACCTGGCAGGTTGTGTAGGATAGTTTTATGTTTTAAGAATTAATTTTTATTTTTTTTCAGCTATATTTATGATCCGTAAAGTTTAGACTGAAAAGTTTAGGAAGTGAGTATATTTATCATCATTATTCATTCTTTGATAGTTTATAGCATAGATTAATTAACAATGAGAGATAAAACACTAGATGTCGTCTTTTCAAGATTTAGGGTTTTTCGTGAACGAAAAACCCCTTGAAAAGACGACATATAGTGTTCTGTCTCTTATTCTTAATTAATCTATGGATTACAGTTTAGAAATTAATTAATAAGATGATATTCATGCCTAGAACTTCATTACTGGAAGGGACTGTACACTTAATTACAACCTATACTCCGTTTCTGGAGGGACAGGTCCGATTAACAACGGTCTAATTGAGGATAACGCTGTAAACACGTAAAATTGTTTTTGCAATCAAAAGTAAGAAATAAAAATAAATTATTTTAATCAACAATTTTCTAACCCCGACATCTTTGCCACCTATAGTCGTAAACCTATAATATTTTATTTTTATAATATTACATCAAATAATCAATTCTGTTAGAACAAATAATCAATTGTGTTAGATCAAATAATCAATTCTGTTAGATCAAATAATTAATTCTGCTTCATCAAATAATCAATTCTGTTAGGCCAAATAATCGATTCTGTTAGTTCAAATAATCTAAGTTTAAAATATAAATGGTTTATACTTTCAGGTTTAAAAATTATATGAGGTTATAAAGTTCTATTCCTTTATCATTAAAATACTAAACTGATGATTTAGTGAGAAAAGAAAAAAATGTTTTATATTGAATTGTGTTTGATTCAAACATAAAAACTGATATTTAAATATTAATGCATTTAATACAAAGCTTGTATTTATTTACTAACATTTTATTTTTATTTCCATTTAAAGATAATCCTTGACAGCGAAGCCTGTCATATAAATCTTTATGAGGTTTACCTTTATATTTCTATAATAACTATTTGTAACACTGTTATTTTGGTTCGCAGTGTTATAAAGTTTTTGGACAGAAATTTTCTCTATATCGAGAAAATTTAAGGCCAAAAACATTATAGCACGTCGTGCCAAAATAATAGTGTTTTAGATAATTTTATAAAACACTTAATTTTATACTTGTCTTATTTCAATGGCTATGTATAGATCAAATAAGCTTTGAAACAAAGCAGAAGTCAAAAGATAAGTTGATTTTAATTTTATTTTCATTTCAATTGAAAAAAATATTTTGGAAATATCCTAAATTTTTTGGAGAAAATCTCGGACCCAATCCTTTATAGCACACGTGCTATAATGTACAGCTAATTTAATGTTATAGCACGATGATTACTTTATAGCACGTTCATATGAAATCACGATGAAGTGAGGAAGAATGATAAAGTGCACAATAGTCTCATATATTTTAATAAATTTCCTATTTTTTCTCGGTCATCGAATCGACAAATAACGAACAAAACTATTTTTTCGTAAATATCTAGAGATTTTTCACATTGTTATTTTAGGAGATCGAGAAAATAACAAATTCATATATATATCTCTCAGAGAACATTTCTGCTTGATTAGAAATTAGTTTTGAGTGATTAAGAAATTCAATATTCTATTTCCAGGTTCCCTGGCTCAATTCTCATCGGTTTTCGATCAGAAACATCCATTTAATTTTTCTAAGTTTCAATAAACATCAAATTTTGTCAATAGTGTTAAATGTCTTTAGAAAAATAATTCAAATAGTCTTTAAGAATTTTAGAATTTAATTTTCAACAAAAAATGATCTAAAATTTCATAAAGCTGGTAAAAGGAACTTTAAAAACATTGAATAGTCTTATAAATAGTGACAATTTGTTGATATGTCTTTAATATACATGTATTTTGTCACATATGTCCCCTTTTTTTTACCAAATTTGCCACATTTACCCCTTTTTTAACCACATATGCCCCTTTCATTTACCATGTTCACATTTATCATACCTTTTATTCACCACATTAGCCTCATTTACCTTTTTTATTTACCACATCAACATTTACTACCCTTTTACATATATACCACATTTACCGTTTCAATTACCACATCAACATTATAATATACTTTTACATATATACAACATTTACCGTTTCATTTACCACATCAACATTATAATAAACTTTTACATATATACCACATTTACCGTTTCATTTACCACATCGACATTATAATAAACTTTTACATATATACCACATTTACCGTTTAATTTAACATTATAATAAACTTTTACATATATACCACATTTACCGTTTCATTTACCACATATGAATAGCTTTGAGGTAATAAATTGAAAAGTACAACGTGATTGAAACTAGTAACTGTAAGGGTAGGATCTAGAGGGATTGAAACTAGTAACTATAAGGGTAGGGGATCTAGAGGAGAGGATAATTCTATATTTACAAAGTACAAACCAGGATTTCAAACTATTCATACAAACTTTTGTTACAGTGCATTGCACAGGAAATTGCTGGTTCAAATCTAAGACTGTATTTGAGGAATACTATCTCATAAATTTAAGGTTTAGCATACAGAAATCTTCTTCTACGTGACAAACCTCATTAAACGTCATGAGAAATATTCTGAAGGGATGGATACAACATCGATAAAATATCTAGATTTTACCAATTTTTTAATATTTTTTTCTCCATTTTGAGAAATTTGAGAATTATGGCTTGGTTCGGTTTTAATAGATACATCAAATCCTAGCGTCAAAAACTATATTAAAGTCCCGACTCAAAAGCTGTATAAAAATCTTGATTCATATTTTAACTTGTAAAAGCTGTATCAAAGTCTAGTTTCAAATGCTGAATAAATCCTAGAACTTTATTTTTAATACTGCTGACAAAACTTGCTCAAATAGTTTCTATGGAGTTGAAAGAAAATGTATTCTTCCCTGTTCTCAAAATTTTTATCCAGAATTTCTATTTTTACGCTTCACTCACAAAATCCTTCTTTTCCTGTCCTTAACCTGGCTTTAAATATCACACTTCAAATCTATATCAAATATAATTTTGGCCCACATCTTCCTTCCTGTTATCATCGATATATATATATATCCTGTCCAACCCTGTCCTGTCCAACCCTGTCCTGTCCAACCCTGTACTGTCCAACCCTGTCTTTTCCAACCCTGTCCTGTCCAACCCTGTCCTGTCCAACCCTGTCCTGTCCAACCCTGTCCTCTTCAACACTGTTCCATCCAAATATGTCCTTTAAACCCTACTTTATCCAACCCTATCCTTTCAAACCATGTCCTCTCCAAGTCAGTCGTCTCCAACCTTGTCCTATCCAAGTCAGTCCTCTCCAATCCTGTCCTCTCCAGCCCTGTCTTTCAACCCTGTCCTTTCCAACCTTGTCCTCTCCAACCATGTCGTCTCCAACCCTGTCCTGTCCAACCCTGTC